ACAACCAGTTCTTTTAAATTTCCCGGGCTATAAATGAGAGAAATAAAACGGACCAAAATGTAATTGTTTTTTTCTTTTTTCCTTTTAATCGGATTTTTTTTCTAGCGTTTTTTTTTGTTGCTTTATTCGATCCTCGAAAGAGAATTTTGGATATGCGGTTTAACCTAATTTACTGTCATAAGAAAAGAAAAAATCCAAATGTGTGTTTTAAAATAAATTAATAAAATCATTGTCAGAGACTGTTGAGATCTTTACTCGCAATACACACAACAAAAAAATGCTTGTTCATATATACAATTCCGACCATAATTCTTCCTCTTATTTTTAAATTCCTGTTTCCATAAAAATTCGTACGTGTTGGGCATATTCTGTAAGTAGGTAGAAAAGTAAAATTAAATTTCCAAGAATATTTTATTGTAGGTACGAAGGTTCGTTATTGTGAGTATTTCTTAGTAATCTTGGAATTTTTCAACCCGAAATTTTAGAAATTTAGGTAGGTACATACCTAGTTACCTCTCGGAATGTATTTTGAATTAAGCAAATTGGTGGAAGGTTATTTCAACAGAACTTCTCTCGCCTCTGAAATACAATACAACAAACCCAGCTTTTTCGAAAAATTATAAAATTTGATTATGCGAATTTTATTTTTTTATGAGAACCCGGATACGTTAAAATTTTGTCCAAAAATTCTAGCTGTCTAGGGTGAAAATTCTACACGGATTTACACACCACAAGTGCAGGAGTATCTAATTTTCTCAAATTTAAAAAATTTTGTATTATAAATTTTGGAGATGACGTCATCCCATTGGTGGTGGAGATGATTTGCCAAATTTTAGTTAGCGTTTAACCATCTACATGATATTTCTAATATACATACAAAATATGGCAATAATCGATCCAGTAGTTTCGGAGAACATTTGTCTAATAAAAAATGGATACAGACACCAGACAGACAGACAGACAGACAGACAGACAGACAGACAGACAGACAGACGGACATACGAAAACGGGAGACCACTTTTTTCGTACTCTAGAGGTCATGACACGTCGAGAAATTAGTACTGGACGTAGAATTGTTGACATAGGCCACTTATTAACAACACTGAAATCAATCAGTATTTTAGATAATATTGAAATAACTCATGAAAATTGTTATCGTTTAAAAATTGTTTTCTACTACAAATTTCATATGTACGGAATATTCGGTAATCTTTGTACTGAACCTGAAAATCATATATACAAAGTCAATTATGCAGCTATTTGTGGAGCTAGATCAACGGTCGTAGGTTATTCTCAAATTTCAGAATTTTGTTCAGCTCTAGATATCCCTCAAATACCCCAGGCGACATATCGTAAAGCAGTTCTAAAGAGCATCGAAGCACTTTTCGAAGAACAAACCAAAACGCAGGTATAGTGAACCAAGAGTTGTAAGGTTATATGGCCATCATAAAATCATCCCATTGTGTCGAAGTTAAGTTGTTTACAATAGAAAAGGTTTTAGGGTCGTAAATAACGTGTCCACTGCAGCTCGACCGGCTCTTGTGGTTTCGTTCAGGGGCGGCTTTCACTAAATATGAAAATCCACCACTCCACTATTTCTTTACTACCTGCAGCCGCTGAGGGTTCCGAAATAACCACTCGCTTTGAAAGCCGGCCCTGTTAAATATGAGCAAGAAATGTTTAGAAGATGATTTATTGCCAACCGGTAAGCTTAGTGCGAACCACACAAAGGGGGTATTTATTTGCGGTCAACTACTTTTATGATGGCCATATAACCTTATAGCTCTTGGTTCACTATAAAGAAGAGTACCGATTAGCTGTGAAGGCGAGGGAGGTAGATAATGATTGCGACCCATATACTACCGTTACAATGCACTGTCTGGGGTAGGACGTATAATTGGTGCCAGAACTAAAAAAATTGGTCTAAAGAGTTTAGACAGTACTTCCCTCGCTGTCGGAAACTTGACGACTGCATGCTTATTGTGTTTTTTTTCTCATTACATTTTTGTAGTGGAAATTTAAAAAAAAATTGCGATGACGTCATCAACATTTTTGCAAGGACACGTATATCAGTTGGGATAGATGTAGTGTAATACTAAGAATAAAATTATTATATTCTCAAATTTTCTAGAAAATGAATTGGGTCGTTTTGAATATTGATTTGTAATAATCAATAAAATAACGAAACAATTTACTCACGTATACGTATCAGAGGCAACTGAAAATCGTGTATGTATAAACATTCTTAATTTAAGATGACAGGCGTAACAGCATACGTGAGAGTCAAACAGAGAAACTGTAAACAAAACGACCATCGGTTTTATTGCTTCGACTTCCGCTTATTATATAAAACATTGGGTTTTATTTTAATTCTTGACGGTGAAATTCACAATTGGTTGATTATAAACATGTCTATTTCACATTCGCGGAACCAAGTGAGCGCATAAAACAAATGCAGGTCTGTAATGTTAAAGTCGATGTAAATAAGCGTGCTACCCTTATGTTTCAACCGAGTTTTTCCTTTAACAAATTTTGTGTCTACCAAATTGGGTTGGTTGGGGTGTAATACTAATAATAAGTGTTGCCTTTAATTTAATCAATAAAATAAATTGACTTCATTAATTTTTTTGAACCACCTCTTAAGAAAATCTAAAAAATATGAATGGAATGATAAATCACAAGTACAAACTCATCATATTTTTTGCATTTTAGATAGGATTTATTCAGCAAAATTTAAGGGTGACGTCATCAATTTTTTTAGGAGGGATGAACAAATACATTTTGAACAAAAGTTTACCATGCTTATAATAACTTTAAAATATTCCCAAGATTTCAAAGCATTCGGTTTTGTAATTCCTGATTAAATCGATAAAATAAATTCTCGCCTTCATTAATTTTTTTGAGTCACCCTGCATATGCAAATCCAAAAATATGAATGGAATGATAAATCACAAGCACAGACTCATCATATTTTGTACATTTTAGATACGATTTATTCGGCAAACTTTTGAGCTGACGTCATCAGTTTTTTGTAGAAGATAACCAAATATATTTTGACTAAAAATTTATTATGCTCTTTATAACCTTAAAACATCTGCAAGATTTCAAAGCATTCGGTTTTGTAGTTCCTGATTAAATCAATGAAATAAATTTACGCATTCATTAATTTTTTTGAGTCACCCTATATATGCAAATCAAAAAAATTTTAATGGAATGATAAATCACAAGAAGAGACTCACCATATTTTGTACATTTTAGATAGGATTTATTCAGCAAACTTTCGAGCTGGCGTCATCAATTTTTTGGAGGGGATAAGCAAATATATTTTGACTAAACATTTATTATGCTCTTTATAACCTTAAAACATCTGCAAGATTTTAAAGCATTCGGTTTTGTAGTTTCTGAGTAAATCAGTAAAATAAATTTACGCATTCATTAATTTTTTTGAGTCACCCTGTATATGCAAATCCAAAAAATATGAATGGAGTGATAGATCACAAGTACAGACTCATCATATTTTGTACATTTTAGAAATGATTTATTCCACAAACTTTTGAGCTGACGTCATCAAGTTTTTGGGGGGGATAAGCAAATATTTTTTGACTAAAGATTTATGATGCTCTTTATAGCCTTAAAACATCTGCAACATTTCAAAGCATTCTGGTTAGCAGATTAAAAATTAAATTTCAAAATGTTGTTTTATAATTTTGATTTTTTTTCCAAAAATCTGGACGTTTCGGGTGAAAAATCGATTCAGAGTTGCAAACTACATGTGTAGGACTATGTTATTTTATACAATTGAAAACCCATTTACTATGTACAATTTTGAAGTGACGTCATCGCATTAGTTGTGGGGATGATTAGACAAATTTTGGTTAGCGTTTTACCATCTACATGATATTCTTAATATAAGTACAAAATTTCACAACAATCGGTCGAGTACTTTCGGAGATTATCTGTCTAATAAAAATCCGGGACGGCAGACGGACAGACGGACGGACAGACGGACTGACAGACGGACGGACAGACGGACGGACAGACGAACAGACGGACAGACAGACGGAAATGGGAGATCTATTTCTTCGTCTTCTAGGGGTCATGAAAGATCGAGAAAACGTAAAAGTAGAGAGTCGGCCGACGGACTCGATTACAATACTTCCTTTGCTTACGCTCGGGAAGTAAAAAGGTTTAAATTCAACAGCATTATCGGCAAAACAAAAAAGTCAAGTTAAAAATACTTCCTTTGCTTACGCTCGGGAAGTAAATAGTTAACAATCGCCCTGTAGTACATTATGTAAACAAATTTTGAGGAAATCAAAAGGAAATCATAGGAAATCAAGAGGAAATCACAGGAAATCACAGACAATCAAAGAAAATCAAAGGAAATCACAGGAAATCAGAGGAAATCAAAAGAAATCGGGGGAAATCAACAGGAAATCATTGTCAAAAGGAAATCAATTGTACACCTGATGGTCGGCGGTTTACCCCTCGTGATAAAATAAGATCGATTTTGGCAAATGATAAACCCTCTAAGAAAAGTGAGGGTGGGTGGGTGTGGCTAGTACCTGCTGAGATAAGACTGATATTGGCAAATGACCTACTCTCTAAAAAATTTTTTTTTTAAATTCGCTACATTCTTGGAATCAGCACGTCAAGATCTATACCCCGGAATTTTATAGAATTTTTAGACGATTATAATAATATATAGTTATATAATTAATATAACAGATTAAAAAAAATATAATAAAAAACTAGTAATGTTGTAGGACCAAACACAAAAACAAAATCCTTCAAGATTCAGTCCTTGAGCACACTGACATCGATGCAGACGAATAAATACAATTAAAGCTAATTTTTGGCTTATTAACGTTCAATTACATAAAAAAAGAAACGGGTTAAGTACTTTTTGCGTGTAAACCGGTTGCGTAGACAAATATATAAAAGCTTCATTGGGATCCTGTTGTCTAGTATTGTCGTTGGTAACTGTTCATACTTCCAATATGATTTCCTGGATTTTTCTCACTTGTGTGATTTTTATCATCATTTCGTTTCTCTGGAAGAAACGATGGTTGTTGTATCACGCTTGGAAAATTCCTGGACCATTCTCGGTGCCCCTGCTAGGAAGCGCATTCCTGTTGTCTGCAACAAAAAATGGTGAGTAATAAAATTTCACTTTTACAAAATTAAAATTTTATTTATTAGATTTTTTCGACCTGATTTATCGAACTCTGGACTCCTGTAGACCAGTTACAAAATTTTGGGCAGGTTCACAGTTGTATATAGCGACCACGCGACCGACAGATCTAGAAAAAATATTAACAAATTGTCTAAGCAAATCGCCTTTTTACGACAATCTTGGTGGTGTAATAAAAAACAGCCTGCTGACACTAAAAGGTACTCAAATACTTTTAACACACAGTAACAAATTGAAAAATTCGCAGTCAGTCTCTGGAAAGAACACCGCAAAATGATCAATCCTTCTTTCAATTCGAAGATTTTAAATTCATTTCATGACGTATTTGTCAAGTATTCAAAGGAAATGGTGAAGTTTTTGAACGATGCGGACGGAAGTGAACAAGCGAATCTCGTTTCAGTCATATGGGAGAAAACACTGGATATTTCTTTAAGTAAAATATTTTCGAGTCAATTTTTGTTATTATTGTTACTATTTTAAAGCCACTTTAACAAATGTGAAACCGCATGCGATAAAGGACCGACGACGTGGTATTACAGCTGTCACGAGGCAAGTCCCTGTTCTTGTTTAACACTATTTATAAATGTTGATTTCAGAATCGAAGAAATATTTATAGAGAGATTTCATAAATTCTGGCTTCTGATCGATTTCGTTTGGAAGTTGTCCAGCTTACACAAGGAATATCAAGCGGCTTGTCAAACTAGTCACGGAATTGCCGAAGACGTACGTATTACTTTGTCCAAAAAACGAAATTTTTGCTTTGGTTTTGTAGATAATAGCAGAAGAACACAAATCGTGTGGAACCGAAACCAGAAATACTCTCTTGTCTGAATCAATACAATTTTCAGGTGATATTATTCGAAATGAGCTTTTTTTGCCTCGTTTGAATACATTAAACCATTCCAACCAGATCACCCGGAAAGAAATTTTGGAAGAAACAAGCTTGATGTTTGTAGCATCGAGTGAAACGACAGCACTCACAGTCAATATGGTTTTAACCATTTTGGGAATCTATCCAGACATTCAGGTAAATAGTGTCAAAATACTAAATAATACCACTATCAAGTTGCTCTTTTAGGAGAAAGTATTCCAGGAACTCGTCTCGGTTTTACCAACCATCGAAAAAGATCCGACTTTGAAAGAGATCAGTCGTCTGGATTATCTAGACCGCGTGATCAAAGAAACTTTGAGATTAGTTCCTATAGTTCCTTTCATCTTGCGATTTACCGATGAAGACATTAAATGTGGTAATGTACATATTTTAGGACGTGGATTCCAAAAAAACACCCTTATTCCAGACTCTTATGTTTTCCCTGCCGGATCTAACATCTTGGTTCCTATAATACTACTACACAGAGATCCAGACGTGTGGCCCGAACCGGAAAAATTTAACCCAGATCGGTTTCTTCCCGACGAAGTTGCAAAAAGACATCGTTGTTCATACATTCCTTTCAGTTTTGGTAGTAGAAATTGCATCGGTCTGTATCTGTAGACAATTGTTTTTTTTTTATCTTTCTATTAGGTTTAAGGTATGGAATGATGTTAGTAAAAGTAATGCTTGCAACGATTTTGAGAAGCTTCAAAGTACAAACTGTTGATTTAAAATCATGGAAGGACATCGAGTGGGAATACTTGATCATGCTGAAGCCTAAAAATAGTCGTCTACTTTTCGAAAAAAGAACGTTTTGATGGCATGATAGCAAAATATAGTAAAACACTGAGCGGTATTTAATCATATTTTAATTTTTTTTTGTGTGTTCTTTAACAAAATAAAAAATCTCCAAAAACGGGTAATAATTATTTATTTATGTAATTATTTTTAATAGTTTATTTTGCCATTTCAATCAGAACCTTATTTAATAACAATAATTATTTAGGATGATGAGGGTTTTACAAAATTTAGTTATTATTTTCTGTAAAAGTCCTTGAAGACTTAATTCAATAGTAGGGTAATACTCCTTGTAAACGGTCATGTCAAGGAAAAACACAAACTCCTTCAATATGTAATAAAATTGTAAAAATAATTTCCCAAAAAACAAATGAAAAATATAAGTCCCTTAGTGGGGTACGTTTCTCAAGTGATTTCTATACTGAATACACGCGTGGCATACAAAACTTTATCCAACACCTCAAAACCCAATTTAACATAACTATATATTTGACATTTCGGAATGACATTTAGCTGACATTTCAATAAATTACAATAAAACCTGCACCCCTAAGTAGGTCATGCTAGTGTACCTAAATAATAATAATATAATGATAAGAGTAGAGCAAACACTGACAAGTGACAGCAATTTTTAATTCAAAACTAATGCCAAAAGGTCACTGGCGTTACTAGGAAAATTTTTTTCTTGACTGAGCAGCGAGCGAGTGCACATTGTTAGCAACAGCTGAAGTTAAAGTCATAGTATACAGTGATTTCCAGGGGTAACAAGTGTGATTGCGTGATAGTAAAAGAAGCACAAGAGAATATTTCGTACAAAAAAAAAAAAAACGCGAGTGCAACTGGTGAGACAAGAAAAACAGCAAGGTTATGTCGAATCCGTTGATGGAAATGATGAAGCAACTAATGGAAGAAATGAAACAACTGAGAGAAGAAAATAGAGGGGTAAAAAAAGAATTACAGACAATAAATGGAATACTGGAAAGAGAAAGAGAAGAATGGAAAGAAAAGGAGAGAAGCTTCGAAGAAAGAATCAATAATTTAGAGAAGAAGTTGGAAAAAAAAGAGAGGCAAAAAAGAGGAAACAATTTCATAATTACGGGTATGGAAATAAGGGAAAAACAGATGCAAAAGAAGTAGAGGAATTTTTGAAAAAAGAAATTGAGGTAGAGGTAAAAGTATTGGAAACAATAATTATAGGGAAAGAGGAAAGCAAGAAAATACTGGTTAAGACGCTTTGGGAGGAAAAACAAGAGGTGATGAAGAATAAAAATAAACTGAGAGGAAAGAGAATTGATAATGATTGGACAGTACAAGAGCAAAAAATTCAAAAAGGAATTAGGGAGATAGCTAAAGAGGAAAGAAAAAAAGGATACACAACAAGGGTGGGATATAAGAAGCTGGAAGCAGGAGACAAAATGTATATATGGAATGAAAATAAAGGAAAATTGGAAGAAAAATTTCGCAAATGAAGTCAGCACTAACCGAAGAAAGAAACACAAAGGGGAGGGGTAGTAATGATGGGACAAATAAAGATTTTAGGTTTAAGAATGTAGATTTTGTACATAATAGGGGAATGGGAAAGAAGAACGGGGAAGATAAAAGTAGTTTAAAATTACTCTTTTGGAATATTGCGGGTTTGAAAAAGAAAGATAATTTATTTTGGGACTACGTTAAAAATTTTGATTTTGTGGGACTAACAGAAACATGGATACTAGAGAGAGACTGGAACAAACTGAAAGACGTGTTGCCAAAGGAATTTCAATGGAAATAGCAAGGGACAAAAAAAGAAAACCGCAAGGGTAGAGCAAAAGGTGGAATCATAACAGAAGAGGGGGCAATAGAAATGGAAGGCATAGTTGAAAGAAAACTGACTGTAAATAAAAAAGGTGGAGAATCTGCACAATATATAGTAGAGGAATGAGAAACACGAAACAAGAAATACAAGAAAAAATCGAAGAGTCCGAAGAAGAATTTCTACTGTTAGGAGGGGACTTTAATGCCAGAATAGGGAACAAAAGCAGGGAAAAAGACGGGGAAAACACACGAAAATCGAAAGATAAAGTAGAAAATAAAGACGGAAAATTGCTATGGGAATTAATTGAAGAAAGAGGTTGGGAAGTCTTGAATGGGGTGAAGGAAGGAGACGAGGAAGAGGAATTTACCTGGATAGCTAAAAGAGGGGAATCGGTAATAGACTACGTAATAGTAAACGGATTAGCAGAAGAAGAGGTAGAAACATTCAAAATAGGAGAAAGAGTGGACTCCGATCACATGCCACTAGAAGTAAAATCGAGGGGCATAAGTAGAGGGAGCGGATGCTTAAGGAATGAAGTAGGAAAAGAGAAGAAGATATGGGTATGGAATGAAAAAAGAATTGAGCATTATAAAAAAAAATGTTGGAAGTGGAATTTAAAGAAAAAGGAACTGAAAAGAAAATGGAAGAATTAAAAAGAGAAATTGAAAAAGCAGCCATAAGAAAAGAAATTGCAACGACAAATTTAGAAAAGAGAAACAGATAGTGGGATAGCAGATGCAGAGATTTAAAAATAGAAGCAAGGAAATGTTTACGAAGGTGGAAAAAGGGGAAAGGTATAAAAGAAGAGTACTGGCAAGCAAAAAATAATTATAGAAAACGATGCAAAGAAAAGAAAGAAGAGATACAGCAAGAAGAAGAAGAAAAAATTAAAGTATATAAAATAAACTGTTTATGTCCAAATACATATAACAGTAAAAAAAATGCAATTGTTTAATCCTGTGTTACAATATTGTATGAAAAAATGAACCAAGTCCATCTTGAATGGTCGGTACTAAGGTCTACCCCTCAATGTTTCCCTGAAAAAAAGTTATTTATTTCACATAAGAAAAAAGAAAAACTGCTCGTCGAACTCGTCATCACTTCGATAGCCATCTGTAATGCCATGGTAATTCCGTCTAAAATGACACGAACAGCTTCAGTTTTTGCAGTTGATCGTATTTTTTCCTAGCCAAAGGTATCGAGGCAGAATATAACGCTTCAAGGTTAGATTTCCAGATATAAGATACAGAAAAAACGGAAACGTTCCTTGGCATAAAAAAAAAATAATTTAAAAAATGACATCCAACCACATATTAGGGGACGATTCTAAATGTGCAAAGTATTTTTGTAAATAAAGTGGACAAGGAAGTTCAACAGTTTTGTCTATAGCATAATCCTGAACTTGTGGTTTATAAATACATTAATGAGATTATTCGGCTTTTAGACTTCTCGAGTTTTCTACTTTAGACGTTTCAATTTTTTAGTACTTCAATTTTGGGCATTTTCAATTTTTCCATTGTTCAAATTTTCGTTTCTTCATTTTTTTATTTTTCGATTTTTCCATTTTCCGATGTTGCAATGATACAATTTCTCAATTTTTATCCGTTTCAATTTACGATTTCTAAATATTTCGATTTTTCAATTTTTGAATTTTTCAAATTTTGACGTTTCTAAATTTTCAGTTTTCCGATTTTTTAAGTAATCTTTTTTTTTTTATTTTCCCATTTCTTCCCAAAGTTTCGATTTTTCAGGTTTTCGATGTTTCAATTTTTCAATTTCTCAGGATTTTGATTTTTCAATTTTTTGATTTTATAAGCTTGCGATTTTTCGCCTTCTGGATTTCCCGATTTTCAGTTTTTCGTTTTTTAAACTTTCGATTTTTCAATTATCGGCTGTTTTATATTTCGATTTCTCAACTTTTCAACTTTTCGATATTTTAATTTTTCAATTTTTAAAATTCTAGATTTTTGATTTCTCGAGTTTCGGTTCTTCTCTATTTCAATTTTTCAATTTTCCGTTAAAAATGATACAATTTTGTAAGGAAATCTGGATTTTGCAATTAGGCTCCACCCCTCTAGGTCTGTCAACGAATAAAAACTTTATTATTATTTAAATCAAGGCAGGTGTGGGTGGGGCTTAATCTTTGGCTTTAATTTGTTCTTAATGTTATTTGAACAACACGGTACTCAAAAACATGTTCTTAATTTCTCGTAGAGAAATAAGGATTTTGCAGTTAAGCTCTGCCCCTTTGGCTCATGACGAATAAAAAAAAAATCATCACAATTGCGATAGGGTGGGTGGGCGGGGCGTATAATTTGCCTTTTTTCTTAATATGCGTAGTCGTCTTTTCAGAACAAACAACTTAAAACATGTGTAAAATGGTAAATTTGTATAGGGAAATACCGATTTTGCAATTACGCTCCGCCCCTCGGTCTGACAACGAATGGAAAATTCATCACGATTGAGATCGAGACGGATGGGTGGAGCTTCTCTTTTGGTTCTCTTTTTTAATTAATACATTTAGTTTTCTACTTAAGAACATATTTCACATGGTAATTTCTCGTAGAAAAATAAGTATTTTACAATTAAGCTCCACCCCTCGGCTTACAACGTACCTATAAAAAAGTCATCAGAATTGAGACAGAGCGGGTGGGCGGGGCTTATATTTTGCCTTTTTTTCTTAATATTCATAACCATTTTTTGACAACAGGAGACCTAGAATATGGTTAAAATAGTACATTTTCGCAAGGAAATAGGGATTTTGTAGTTACGGGGCGGAGCATAATAGCAAAATCGATATTTCCTTATACAAAATTTCCATTTTAAACATGTTTTAAGTTTCATGTTGTAAAAAGAAGTGTACTCATATTAAAGCAAAAAAGCAGAATGTAAGCCCGCCCACCCGCCCTGTCCCAATTGTGATGATTTTTTTTTATTCACCGTGTACCAAGAGGGCGGGGCTTAACTGCAAAATACTTATTTCTTAAAAAAAACATATTAAGAAAAAAAGGCAAAATATAAACCCCGCCCACCCACACCGTCTCAATTTTTTTTCTTAAAACACGTTTAAAATGGTAAATTTTTATAAGGAAATAGGGATTTTGCAATTAGGCTCCGCCCCCAGGTGTGCCAACGAATAAAAATTTTATTATTACTTAGACGAAGTCAGGTATGGGTGGGGCTTAATCTTTGGCTTTAATTTTTCCTTAATATACACACTTAGTATTCTTTGAATAAAACTATACTCAAAAACATGTCTTACATGATAATTTCTTGCAGAGAAATAATACGAATTTGGAATTATTTACCGATGCGTTGGATCTCGACGATTAAAAAAAATCATTACAATTGAGATAGGGTGGGTGGGTGGGGCTTATAATTTGCCTTTTTTCTTAATATACGTAGTCGTCTTTTCAGAACAAGAAACTTTAAACATGTTTGAAATGGTAAATTTCTGTAGAGAAATATGGATCTTGCAATTAAGCCCCGCCTCTTGATCTGACAACGAATACAACATTCATCACAATTGAGAATGGATATAGGGGCGGGTATGGGTGGGGCCTAATCTTTGGCTTTAATTTTTTCTTAATATATATAGTATTCTTTGAATAATACGATACTCAAAAACATGTTTTTAATTTCTCGTAGTGAATGAAATAAGGATTTTGCAGTTAAGCTCCGCCCCATTGCCTCACGACGAATAAAAAAAATCAACACAATGGAGATAGGGCGGGCGGGCGGGGCGTCATTTTGCCTGTTTTTTTAGCATGTGTAGACTTTTTCGATTTTCAAATTTTTCGATGTTTCGATTTTTCAATGATCCGATTTTTCAATTTCTCGATTTTTAAATTTTAGATTTTCCAATTTTTATTTTTTTTATTTTTTTTATTTTTTCATGTTTGGATTATTTATTATTGCTAAAAGCGAAAGTAAAAAATAACTACCAAAATTGTGACTAAAAATATGCAAAAATTATTAGAAAATAGAACACAATGCTGCTAAAACATAAAAATGATTGTACTTTCTCAAAAAAATCTATTAGATGATTACGATTCCACCAGTATTGTTAATTTAGGGCATTTTGTTTGTATCAAACACAATTAAAGAATTAATTCTTAGTTAAACAAAAAAAATTGCATAATTCAACGAGACGATAAATTTCGGGCATATAATATGATAGAGCCCCTAGAAAAATTTTATTTATATGCCTTACTTCCGGAGATAGTAGATTCTCGTTATAAAAGAAGTCAATCCATCAGACAAATTCTAAAAAAAAATTGTAAATTTAAAAAGTTTCATTTGCATTCCCAGGAATAAATAGTACTAGCGGGATAGGTCTACTGGAGATACCAGGTAAAAAAAAACGGCCCTATAATACTTTACCTCATAGGTGGTGCGGAAAAGAGTATCAAAAATTAAATTTAAATAAATGTGATTATTTAGGTAAATAACTGGTTAGTGAAGTGATGAGAGCTGAAGCGAAACATGCTCTCTCCTCGTCTAAAAATTGAATTTCCTTCGAAGAATGAATGATTAAATAAACAATAGACAATCACTTATTTTAAAAAATCTATCAATTGAAATGTCGATCTTTTTTTTCAAAGTTAAATCTCATTTTTCGGTCTGCTACTGGTGAAACACTCAAAAAACTTAAAATCTGGAATAATTAAACCAAGAATTATGCGTTGTTTAATATTTAATCGTAATAAATACGTCAACCTAGTTTTTTTCGAATTAATAATCGTTTAAAAGCAAATATTTATGCCGACAAAAAACTTATTAATATTCATATTCGAATGTCATGAATGAAGGAAGTTTCATATTGATATTTTAAGAATTTTTTATAAGTTTTAGGAATTCAATGATTTTTTTACGGCAGTTTGCTTCAATTTTGACAAATTAACTGATGGAAAATTTCTTACAAAGCCGCACTTACGATTGACCGGTATTAAATATGCAAGTTCACACGCTGCAATCGGTGTGTGAACGTGTGATTTCATGAATGGGAGTAGAAAAACGGATTTTTCTTTGTTCCCAAATTTGTTTCCTCCAAAACAACTAGTAAAGTTGAGGGACCAAACACAAAAACAAGGAAAAAATGCAAACAATGTGCGAAAGTCCTTGAAGACTTAACAATTAAAACTGATTCTTTGCTTATTAACGTTTAATTACATTAAGCAAGGATTAAGAATAAAACTAGTATTTTTTACATATAAACAGGTTGCACAGATAAATATATAAAAACTGCCGTGAGGTTTCTTTGTCTAATGTTAAAACCGTTGGTGACTGACCTTACCTCTAATATGGTTTTCTGGATTTTTATCACTTGTGTGATTTTTATCATCATTTCGGTTCTTTGGAAGAAACGATGGTTGTTGTATCACGCTTGGAAAATTCCTGGACCATTCTCGGTGCCCCTTCTAGGAAGTGCATTCCTCTTGTCTGCAACAAAAAATAGTGAGTAATAAAATTTCATTTTGACAAAATAGGAATTTTATTTATCAGATTTTTTCGACCTGATTTATCGAAATCTGGACTCCTGTAAACCGGTTACAAAATTCTGGGCAGGCTCAGAGGTGTACATAATGACCACGCGACCAACAGATGTAGAAAAAATATTAACAAATTGTCTAAGCAAATCGCCTTTTTACGACAATCTTGGTGGTGTAATAAAAGACAGCCTTCTGATACTAAAAGGTATTAGAATATATTTAACCCACAGTAACAAATCGCAAAATTCGCAGTCAATCTCTGGAAAGAACATCGCAAAATGATCAATCCCTCGTTTAATTCGACGATTTTAAATTCATTCCATGACGTATTTGTCAAGTATTCGAGGGAAATGGTGGAGTTTTTGAGCGATGCTGAAGGAAGCGAACAAACGGATCTCGTTTCAGTCATCTGGGAAAAAACACTGGATTCCGCGTTAGGTAAAAATTTCTTTATTGACTCTCGATTTATGTAACAATCGAATTTCAACAGCAACTTTAACCACCGTAAAACCCCATCTGATAAAAGAACTAAGACGTCTCATTCCAGTTACCGTCAAGTAAGTACCTAGTTGGTTTTGTTTATCAGTTTTATTGATTTTTAATTTCAGAATCGAAGACACATTTATACAAAGATTCCATAAATTTTGGCTGCTCATCGATTTCTTTTGGCAAAAATCTAGCTTAAATAAGGAGTTTGAATCGGCTTGTCCAACTGCTCACGCAGTTATCAACAATGTACGTATTATATATTTTGTTCGAAAAATTAAATTTTTATTTTCGCTTTTACAGATAATATCAGAAGAACGCAAATCTGAATTTTCAGGTCGAAGTCAGCGTTTCCTACCGCATTTGATTAAATTAAACCAAACAAAGCACATCGCCGACCAAGAAATTCTGGAAGAAATGAGTTTGATGCTTGTAGCGTCGAGTGAAACGACAGCACTAACAGTCAATATAGTTTTAACGATTTTAGGAATCTATCCAGACATTCAGGTAAATTATGCCAAAATACTTATACCACGATAAAGTTATCTTTTCAGGAAAAAGTATTCCAGGAACTCGTTTCAGTTCTACCAACCATAAAAAAAAATCCGACTTTGGAAGACATCAGTCGTCTGGATTATCTAAAACGTGTGATAAAAGAAACGATGAGATTAGTCCCTATCATTCCCTTCATTTTGCGATATACCGACGAAGACATTAAATGTGGTAATGTATTTTAGGACTTGGATTCCAAAAAACACACCTTTGTTTTCCAGACCCATATATTTTTCCCGCCGGGTCTAATTTATTCGTTCCTATAATCCTACTACACAGGGATCCGGAAGTATGGTCAGAGCCCGAAAAATTTGATCCTGATCGGTTTCTTCCCGATAAAATTACGAAAAGACATCGCTGTTCCTACATTCCTTTTAGTTTTGGTAGCAGAAACTGTATAGGTCTGTATTTGTCACCAGTGGTACTAATTTTTATCTTCGTCTTAGGTTTAAGGTATGGAATGATGTCAGTGAAAATAATGCTTGCAACAATTCTGAGAACTTTCAAGGTACAAACTCTTGATTTGAAATCATGGAAGGAGATCGAATGGGACTATTTGATCATGCTGAAACCTAAAATTAGTCGTTTACTTTTCGAAAAAAGAAGACTTTGATTGCATGTTTTTTCTGTTTAAGTTTTCCTGCAGTGTCTTTTATAAGCAACCAATAGTATTCGAACTAGCCAATAAAATCAGAGATCAAAACGGAATAGGCGGGGCTCTTTGATTCTATCGTTTATTAAAATAGAATTCAATTCCCATTTTACAGTAAATAAAATAATCAAACTTATCTTGCTAAGATAAGACTGATTTTAGCAAATGATACACCCTCTAAGAAAATAGAGGGGAGTGGGCAGGGCCAACTGCTTGCTCATAAGACTTCGTTGAAAAAAGCTAAACCCAGCCTCGCCCAATTTTTTTCTCGATTTCACCCATTTATTATAAGAAAAATGGGATTAGAGTTTTTTTTCTTTTTTTAGCAGCGTAGGTTCTATTAGTTCCCATTCCCACTCTACAAAATAACATATAATTAACCCCGCCCACCCACCCCTGCCTCCATTTCAGTGATCCATTTATCTAGTCAGAATGACAGACGGATCTTATACTGAGCAGAAATAAAATGATTAGAATGAGAACACGCGCATGGGCGCCGATAAGATAAGACTGATTTTGGCAAATAACATACCTTCCAAGAAAATATAGGGTGGGTGGGCGGGCTAGGACTTGCTAAGATAAGACTGATTTTGGCAAATGACATACTTTCCAAGAAAATAGTGGGTGGGTGGGCGGGGCTAGTACTTGTTAAATAAAGACTGATTTGGCCAATGTCATACCTTCTAAAAAAACAAAGGGCAAACGGTGGTGCTAATACTTGCTAAGGGTGGGTGGGCGGGGCTACGATTTTGCAAGATAAGACTGATTTTGCCAAATGACTCTAAGAAAATATAGGGTGGTGGGGGGTTAGTACTTGGTAAGATAATAATAATAATAATAATAATAATGTTTATTCACGCCAAAAAAGAAAGCATTACATGATAATTAGACACCCATACAAAGGGCCTTACAGTAACGTTTAAAACTCATAAATTTGGACCCTGTAAAATTAAGTTCAAAACCTACATTATTAGCCAACGATAAAATACTATTCATTGGATAATGGAGCGAATAGTTGCGACAATGAAAAGGAATATAAAACATTTCAGGTTTACGTGTATGAAACACATGTACATTAAAACCTATTCTACTTAACAATGTAGGGCAGCTAACCATATTATTCAACAATTTAAATAAAAAACAGAGCTTTAAATACTTCCTTCTATTACTCAGACACGGTATATTAAGATAGTCATCAACTATTTCAACACTAGCAAACTGTAAATTATATAACATACTTAATCTAAATTTTAAATATTTTAAAAAATGAATCTGAATAGCTTCTATGCGATTAATTAACGTAATATAAAAAGGAGACCAAATAATACAATTATACTCTAAGACAGATCTTACAAGCGAAAAATATAAAACAACTATAACATTAATGTCCTTAAAATCAACAGACCATCTTTTTATACAACCTATAAGTTTTCTAGCTTTAGCTATAAGTGAATCGTAATGACAATGAAACGTTAATTTAGAATCAAAATAAATACCTAAATCTTTAACTATACTTTCATCTTTTAGTAATTCATTATTTAACACATAAGAAGCATTAATGGGGGAACTTTTCTTACTAAAACAAATGGCTACACATTTCGAAACATTCAGATTTAAGTCATTCATGAAGCACCATTTTTCAACTAGTTTAAGATCATGTTGTAAAATCTTCATGTCATCAGTTGTTTTAATAAAATGATAAATTTTTAAATCATCAGCATAAAGAAGACTTTTAGAAAGAAAATTCATTGTAATGTCATTGACGAAAATATTAAAAAGAAAAGGACCAAGAATGGATCCCTGCGGTACCCCAGATTTAACAGAATACGTGTAAGATTTTACACCCTTTAAACATACACCTTGACTACGATTCATGAGATAGCTATTAAACTAGGACAAAAGAGATTCACGAATGCCATACAAATACAATTTATCTAAAAGCAATTGATGGTGAACTTTGTCAAAGGCTTTATGAAAGTCTGTGTACACACAATGTACATCATAACCATCTTCAAAAGCATCAGTTATATCACTAATAAATGTAATAAGATTAGTCTGCGTAGATCTGCCAGCATAAAAGCCATGTTGAGACTCAATGATAATATTCTTAAAGGAATGACGTAATTGTTGAGAAACAATAGTTTCAAATAATTTGGCAAGAACCGACAATATACTTACAGGTCTATAATTATGAACAAAATGCTTAGAACCAGATTTAAAAATAGGCACCACATGAGCAAATTTCCAGATGTCAGGAAAAACTCCACTACTCATAGATACAGAGAAAATGCGACATAATGGTTCAGCCAATGATAAAGCACCCATCTTAAAAAATAAAGGAGGAATACCATCAGGACCAGCTCCCTTATTCAAATTTAATTGTAATAGTTCACGCATTACCTGATCAACATTAAAATCAACAAAATTCAAATCGATCTCAGGATTATTCTTAAAATAGTCAGAATTATAAGTAGGGAGCAACTTAGGATTCTCATACACAGAAGAAATATAGCAAGCAAAGACCTTAACAATATCACTGCAACCTTGAAATACATCATTATTGAAATACATAGTATTAGGAATCTCATTACTTCTATTATGATCACTAATAAATTTCCAAAATTGTTTAGAATCAGTATAAATCAAGGATTCAGTACGATCAATATAACTATTATATGAACAGTTAATAGCATGCTTACATTCGTCCCTAACAATGGAAAAATTAACATAATCCTCAAATTTGCCACTCATTTTATATCGACGATGGAGCTCCTTTTTACGTTTGACAAGCTTGCGCGATTCTGAATTAAACCAATGTGGAAAATTATCATAACGCTTAACCCTAGTAGGTACAAAAATATCACATGCTAAATAAATGTAATTATAAAAGATATTCACAACATCACTAATATCAGTAATAAAACTAATAAAATCCCAGCTAATAGAAATTAAAAAATTATTAAGTAATTCATAATTGCAATTCTTAAAATCGTAAGAAATGTCACAAAATTCAGCAGTACAGTAACAATCAACTAAATCAATAGCAAACGAATAGGGGGGATGAAAAGGATCCACTTTTACAAAAGCAAAACATTCACTAATATCTAAATGCTCACAATTAGAAAAACATAAATCCAAAACATTACCCGAACTGTTAACAATATAATTAAATTGACTCAAATCACATGCAAAAAAGGTGTCACAAATAATAGTCTCCTTGTCAGTGCTAACATTAATAGGTGTGAGACCTACGATTTCATCATCTTTAATCCAAGAGATACAAGGTAGGTTATAATTACCAAGGAGATAAAACGTTGCATACAAATAATTCCTACAAAGATAATTAAAACTAGATACATGAATATTATACATATCAATCGACGCATCCGGAGGAAGATACACTGCACAGAAAATAAATGTTTTCTGGTCACATTCAAGAAGGACCCACAATTCTTCAATGGAAGTAGCAATATCAAGGATTTTGGCTGTTATATACTTTTTCACAGCAATAAGGACACCACCACCATGACATTTTTTACTGTTAAGTGCATTACGATCATTTCTGAACACCACATATCTATCATCAAATATCTCCGCATCACAAATTTCAGGACGAAGCCAAGCTTCAACAAAAACAATGACGTCATAATTATCATTAGCACATGATAAGAAACAATCTTTAATTTTAGTCCTGAATCCACGTACATTTTGGAAGTAGACTTTAAGTTTTTCGAGTCTCATACTACTGCTGATTTTTCCTTGTCCGTTGAAAAATTTGAATTACCAGATGTAACATTGTTAGTCTTGGATATAATATTATTAACCTTACGTTGAGAAGAGTAGAATCTCCTTATCACAGCTCCACATGGCCACAAATCAGAATTTAATATATTCGCCGCAGCAGATTGTGGAATTCCAACCGTAAATGATTTGAATTCTCCCTTATCTGACAATAAATCACAGGATACATTAGCTATTTGCAGATCATTCTTTATAAAATTCACAACATTATCACTACTCATGGAAGGATCAATACGCCCTATATAATAGAAATGTTTCTTTTCAACTGTTAAAAGATGGGATGACTGCTTGATACCAGTGACGATTGAAGACTTATTTCTCTTACGGAGATAACGAGGTTGATGCCAGTTACCATTTTCATTGCCTACTTTATCCTTAGAAATATAAGCATATTTAATAGTGTTTACTCCGTGACCAGCTTTATCAACGAATTTATCGGATTGTACTTTTTTATTATTCATAAGATTGATTATGTCAAATGTCAGATCGTCTAAGAAAATAAATGGGGGGTGGTGCTAATACTTACTAAGGGTGGGCGGGTGGCGCTAGGACTTGCTAAGATAAAGCTGATTTTGGCAAATGACATACCTTCCAAGATAATAGAGGGCGGGTGGGCGGGACTAATACTTGTTAAGATAAGGCTGATATGTTGAACAAGTTGTAAAATACATGTGTAGACTATGTTATATTTTTAACATAACATGGCGGACGACGAGGACGGTAGTAATACCGATCCTCAAAAATATAATAATTGTAAGCTGTGTAAAAGTTATATAGGGATAAATACGGCTCGAATTAAATGTAAAAAGTGCAGTGTTGTGCTCCATATTAAGTGTTTCGAAAATTTGGCCAAATTGGTGTGTATCAGAGAAGATGAGTGGTACTGTAAATCTTGTGAATCAGCACTCGACGATGTCCATAAATCTGCAGCCACATTAGAATACGAAAAACGGGCTCTCCAAGAACAAGTGTTATTTCTCCAGAAATTAGTTGATCAACTTGAAAGGGTGAACCATCTTCAACTGAAAAAATTCAGAGCATCGAACTCAACTCATTGAATAAACAGCAAGTTGCAAAAACTCCGCAGATATTTTTATTAAGTTCAACGAAAATAAAGCCTGATAAAGTATTGGAAACAATTTGTCATAAGGTAAAACCACAGGAGTTGAATGTGAAAATTAATTCGACGAAAGTGTTAAATACTGGTCTTCTTGTCAAATGTGATAGCGATTGTTCGCGTGACATACTAATGAATGAATTGAAAACGTCACCAAGCCAAGAATACGTCATCGAAAAATCCAAAAAATGGAACTCACGTCTATTTGTCAAAGGAGGTGGCAAAATAATATATTAGTCATGAATGGGTTAGATACATATGTTGATCATTTAAAACTTATAAAAAGATTCAAGTCGAAATATACTTATAACTTTGTAGTAGAGTTACTAATAATTTGCGCCAAAAAATATTTAGAAATTTAGGTGGTAAAATATACGTGGGGTGGAGCTCATGCTCTTGTACCGACCATTTGCAGATTACACGCTGCTACAAATGTTCCAGATTTGGTCATCTGGCAAGTAACTGTACTGAGAACAAATTAGTTTGCGCCAAGTGTACTGAAGATCATAACTCTAAGGAGTGTCAGTCACTTCAGCAAAAATGTATCAATTGTCTTGAGTACCACGAACGTAACAAATCTTCCAATATAGACGTAAATCATATTTGCGGAGATGAAGCTAAATGTTTTGTGTACCGAAATAAAGTTAAATCTTTACAAAATAAGATTGACTATGGTTCATAAAGTTCAAAAAAATTTTAAAATAGCATATTTAAATGTTCGGTCACTTACAGCTAGTTTTGTCGATTTTTGTGACTTGGTTATCGCAGATAACTTTGATTTCATTGGGATTAGCGAAACATGCCTTTCAAATAAGATTGCTTCTGCTGACATAGGATCTAAATGGTTACAACTTATTTCGTATGGACAGACCCGATGAGCGAAGAGGAGGTGGAGTAGGTTTTTATGTAAGTAATAATATAAATTGTGATACTGTTAAATTTGACGTTGATCATAATGATTGTATGGAACATATGTGGCTTAAATCTAAGGTTAATCATACAAGCATTCTTATAGGAGTAATTTACAGACCGGAAGGTAATTTAATGAATACTATTAACTTAGTAGAAGATATTTTGTCCCGAGCAATACCAGAGTACGATATAGTTGCAATCGTAGGTGATTTTAACATTGACCTATTAAATATTACTAATGTGCTAACTGACTCTATGTCTAATTTTGACATGTTTCAAATTATCGATGAAGCTACTAGAGTCACTGCTACATCAGCGACTTTGGTTGACCATATTTTTTTGAACAAACCGGATTTAGTCTTGAACAAAGGTACGAAAAATACAGACGCCATATCAGACCACAGACTGGTATTTGCTGAATTAAAAATTTGTTCGCCGATACAAAAACCAAAATATATTACATTACGAAATTTAAAGCAAATAAATAATGATCGCTTTCAGTTAGACTTGTCAAGTATACCTTGGGATAATGTCTTCTACTTTCCTACTATAGATGAAAAGTTGGAATTTTTGACAACAAACATTTTACTATTATTTGACATCCATGCTCCTTTGCGTACCATAAGAATCACCAAACCTAAAACTCCATGGTTGACTGATGTGTTAGAGCTAATTTTACGTGAAAGAGACCTAGCTTATAGTAACTATAAAAAACATAAAACCCCTGGGAATTGGAACAAATATAAAAATTTAAGAAACTTTGCGCTCGCATCTCTCAGAAGAGAGAAAAAGGCTTACTTGGTTAACATGTGTGGCCAAAACAACAGTCGACAATTTTGGAAATCTTTAAATGCCTTACACATTACTAGGACCAAGTGTCTTGAAATTCCATCTCACTTAAATAATCCTGATACAATTAACAATTTTTTTGCATCTGTTTTTCAGAATGTGTCTCCTAATCCTAACATGACTGATTTTTATTCTTCTCAAAAATTCAAAGACAATTTAGTTTTCATTTTCCAGTTATCAACAATTGAAGAAGTTGCTTTAATTATTCGTTCTCTAAAATCTAATGCCTTAGGGTTGGAACAAATTTCGTTAGAAATGATACAGTTGTGCAGCTCTGTGATACTTCCTCGCATTACTCATTTAATTAATTGCTGCATCGAAGCTGATTACTTTCCTACTGCTTGGAAAACGGCTTTAATTAGACCCCTGCCAAAAGTATCATCACCTGAATCTCTCAGCGACTTACGTCCAATTAGTTTGTTGCCTACTCTTTCTAAGATTTTCGAACGCGTTCTTATGCAACAGTTACGCAAATATAGTGAAGAAAATGAAATTATACCAAATCATCAGTTCGGTTTCAGACAGAATCACAATACCACCACTGCTCTGCTACATTGAACTGAAACTTTAATCCGTAATCTAGACCAGAAGTTGTCGTCAATTCTTGTGACACTGGACTACTCCAAAGCTTTCGATAAAATAACTCACGAACTACTACTTGCGAAGCTTTCATATTATGGTTTGTGTAATTCGTCTGTAAGTTTAATTAAGTCATATCTATGTGATCGTGGACAAAAAGTGGTGATAGGTAGTAAGTTTTCGGACGTTGTGGCAATAAGCTCAGGTGTGCCTCAAGAAAGTGTCCTGGGGCCGCTTCTGTTCACTATCTTTATTGCGGATATAGCCAATGTTATCAGGAATTGTGGTATTTTTTCTTATGCTGATGACATCTCTTTAGTTTTTAAATTTAAATCGGAGGAAACCAATACGATTGCATTGTTAATTTCAGATTTAGTAGCTGTATATGAATATTCTTGTCGTCACAACTTGACAGTGAATATTAACAAGTCAAATGCTGTGCTGAAACCACTTAAAAAATAATATAAATATCACCATAAATAATGAGACTATTAATTATAATATTATTTTATGCAATTTAAAACCCATTTACTATGTACATTTTTGATGTGACGAAAATCAGGATTCCTTCTTGGTGTTATTTTACTTTTGTCACTTAATGTATTTCAAAAATACCCTGTGTTTCAAATCAAACATTTGACTATAAAGAAATAACGTTTTGATATATGTATTTAATGTGATAATCTTAGAAATTCTTTTAATAGGGCATTTCTTAACTAATTTGATTATAATACGATAAAGATATCTAACTATGTTAAATTTGTGAGTTCAAAGATCTTGTGAAGCGTTCAAAAAAGTTAAAATCTATAATTAAAACCAAGAATTATGCGTTGTTGAATATTTAATCGTTATAAAAACGTGAACTTAACAGTTTTATTTTTTTTAGGAATTATGTAATCGTTTAAAAGTAAATATTCGTGAACTTAAGCACACCGACAAAAAACTCATTAATTAATATTCATATTCACAATCTATGAATGAAAGAACTTTCATATTGACATTTTAATTATTTTTATTACATTTAGGAATTCAATGATTTTGCTTTATTTTTGACAAATTTGAAAAATAACTCATGCAAAATAACATACAATTTTGAACTTACTATTGACTGATATTAAAAATTCAAATTCACACACTGCGATCCGTGCGTGAAGGTGTGGTTTCATGAAGGGGAGTAGAAAAACAGATTTTTCTTTGTTTCCAGAACTTGAAGACCAGAATTTGTTTATGTCCTCTAAAACTAGTCAAGTTGAAGGACCACACACGAAAACAAGTAAAAAATACAAAATGAGAAAGTCCTTGAAGATTTAATTCTGGAGCACATTTGCATTGACGTATTTTTTACGTGTAAACAGGTTGCGTAGATAAATATACAGGGTGCCGCATCCAAGGTTGGACATAGGAAATTAACATGGGAAATTGGTTTTTATTTTATAATTTCTCCTTAGATCACTTTCAAGCTACTATTGTGTGATACATATGTGGAGGTCGAAGAGGGCTATCGGCCAGTATTCCGATTTGTCGCGAAAGGTTCCATCGCACTGTCGAAGTTCGGCGATCGCGTCTTTGGATTAACCATGCAAAATTCAAATGTCAAAGTCAAATTAGAAATTATTCTCAGAAATCAACGAACAACTCAAACTGAATTATTTTATCCAGTGTGATGATTATTGTAGGACAAATTAAACGAAATAAATGCACAAATTGATCCATTCATTCGTCATAGTGCGCGACCCCCTCAAACGAGCCATTTCGAACTACACTCAGGCCGTATCCAAAAAGACCGAGATGAAGACTTCGAGCAGCTGGTCTTCCTCAAAACCGCATCGGAGCATTGTGACATGTCCTGGGAGCCCGTCAAACTCGCGCTGCCTCACTCAGTAATCACTTTACGACTCAAACTGAATTATTGTATCCAATATGAGGAATATTGTAGGTCAATTTAAACGGAATAAATGCACAAACTGCACAAAATATTTTATTAGGTTATGTCGTTGGTGCTTTATTACTAAAACCTCATTAAAATGCCATGTTCTACTGCGATTAGATGAAAAAGCGAGGGCCCGCTTTTCTTATTGTGTGATGATAAGATTTACCATCAAAACGGCTGACGTTTTTGAAGAGAACCTTTTAATGAACCACTTAGATAACTACAAATAACAAAACTTAACAATTGTTGATGAATGAAGTAATGAAATATTGTACGAATCTGGAGAAGTATTGCACTATTTTCAAGAATTGCTCAAAAAGACTGCTCTCAGCAGCTGTACAGTAGGTAAGCCGATCTTTAAAACTCCTACGCGTTTGCTGGATTGCTTGTTTCAGCGCGTCTCTGTTTGTATAGCTGGTATTTTTCGAATACAGATGGTCGTGAAGAAATCTCCAAAGAAAAAATTCCCAGAGGTTTAGATCCGGCGAATGCACAGGCCATTTTTTTAAATCTGTGGAAATATGTTTTACATTTTATCAATTCTGGAAAAAATATTGCAACTTTCGGAGAAATGAAACCAAAAATGACTTCTGCAAGTCTAAATGTACCAGAAAATGTCAAAAATTCAATTTAACGATCATCGAAAATTTGAGACTTAAAAATATAATATATGTAATTATAAATATTTCAAAATTCGACAGTTTTTTGGATCAGACAATCATCAAATTTTTAATAAATTTCGTTCAGCCTTCTTTAAGATTTGTTTCCTTTGAGTACTTTGGAGAAAAATATGGTAATAAAACGTCGCAGTAGACGTCAAAGCGTAGGGACAGGTCCACTTTCGAATTTAGGGGTAGGAGATCGTTGTTTTGTGATTCCTTCGTGATTGAAAGTATTGTTCGTAATGAAAAATTTATCACATTTGAGTTTGGGTTGGGCGGGTGGGGCTTATTTTTTAACTTTTTTTCTTGACATAGGTATATGGTTTTCTTTCGACAACACGATATTTAAAACATATTTCACATGGTAATTTTTAGTAGAGAAAATAAGGTTTTGATTAAGCTCCGCCCCCAGTCCAAAATTTTCAAAATTTCAGTTTAAAAATGGAATTTTTGAAATATCTCGAAAACTGTCCCGTTTCATTTTATCGAATCTGGGAAAACTGTGGGAGCTTTCGAAAAAATGAAATGAATGGATTTTACAAGTCGAAATCTTCAAGAAAATGTCTAGCTAATTTTCAAAGAGTGCTGGATACACGGTCAAAAAGTTCAATTCAAAAGTCACTGCAGAATTCAGATTTTTCTTTTTCTTAAAAATCATCAAACAATTCTGGGAAATACACTTCGATGTGCTGCTGATTAAAAAAAAAAACATGTTCATGATCCCAGACCAAGATTTTCGAGAATTCTTCTAGAAGATGAACCTAAGGGCGGAACTTATTTGCAAAATCCGTACTTCTCTACAAAAATTCACTATTATATCATTTTAAACATGATTTGAGTTTCCTTTTGGGAAAAGAAGACTATACGTATATTAAAAAGCATGGCAAAATATAAGCCCCGCCCACCCACCCTCATCTTAATTCTGATGATTCTTTTCATTCATTGTCAGACAGAGGGGCGGAGCGTAACTGCAAAATCCATATTTGTCTACAAAAATTTGACAATTTGAAGTTTTTCGTTGCGAAAAGATGACTACGAATATTAAGAAAAACAAGGCAAAATGCAAAAACTTGTTCAAAATGGACAATTTTTTAATGGAAATATGGATTTTGATGCAATTATGCTTCTCCCTCTGTCTGAAAACGAATAAAATATTCGTCAAAATTTAGATCGGGGCGGGTATAGGCAGAGCTTAATCTTTGGCTTTCTTTTTATTTAATACATATAGTTTCCTTGAATAACACAGTTAATTAAGAACTTGTTGGACATGATAATTTCTTGAAGAAAAATAGTGATTTTGCAGTTAAGCTCCGCCCCCGGTTTACAACGAATGAAAAACATCATAATCCCGATTGAGATAGGGTGGGTGGGCGGGGTTTGTATTTTGCCTTGATTTTCTTAATGTCGTAGTATTCTTTTTACAACAAAAAACTTAACATTTGTTTAAAATGGCAAACTTTCCATTCCAAAATTGCGGGAAAATACTGGTTCAAATAAACAACATTTATGCGAGCTGTATGGCTGGAGATTTGGTCCTGCATGTGAAAGATTTGCTGCAGATGCCGCACCCTTCGAGTCCCAGGAAGTATTTGCTGAGCTAGCATATTGTCCTTCTTCTGAGCATTCAATCCAGATTCGATGAAAAAAGGTGCAATGACATGATGTCCTAGAAGCCCAAGTCATACACTGGCTGTGTATTGCTCAAATTTGATTGTTCTAACTTCTTCCTTTAAAACCAAATGAACATTCGTCAGTAAAACTCTCAATCAAAAATTCTCCATCAGCCTAGATTCTCTCAAGCGTTCCTTCGTAAAACTCCATACGTGAGAAGTAGTCCTCAGGCTTTTCGTTTTTTGTCATGATGCTTTTCGAAACTCTTCTATCCCATCTGTTTAAGATCCCTAGAAAACGTAGTGCCCATCTGATTTTCTTTAATTTTTATCACCTTTGAAAATAAATGTAACTTTGTTTTGTGAAATGTTATTTTTATTTTTGTTGTTGTTAACACAATGAACAAATAAAACAAACAGTAATACAAAAGTTTCTGAATCCCGAAACACATTCGTAATAGAGAAAAATTTTTTTAAATGTTGATGAGTCAATGTTCTACATTTCTCTCTCAAAAATTTCTTGTACCGAACATGCTTCCAGGTGGCAAGAATTCCATCCCTGCTTAATGAATGTAAAATCAATTGACTTCCAATCTTTAGTGATTCGAAAAAAAAGTGTAAAATTTAATAATAATAATAATAATAATAATATTAATAGGACTTTATTAAATAATAATAGGCGAAGTCTAGCCATAGGCTATTCCACTTAACCTTAGATTACAAGAAAATAAAACTAACCAAACAGTTTGTACAGAAAAACGGATTAAATATCTAGACAGGAGTCAGCTAGGTAATGATCAAATTAAACAATTTAAACTAATTAAATCTAAATTAAATTAAATTAAATTAAATTAAATAATCCATAATTAGAAACTCAATTTATACAAATAATAATAATAATAATAATAACAAAAAGTTAGCAACAAGCAAGAGAACCACAATAATAAACTTAAACCTAAGTATTAATCAAGCATTTTTAATTTTTTCCCTAAAACAATTGATGGAAGAACTTGAATTAAACTCTAATAAAAATTTATTGTAAACTTTGATAATATTGTACGTGAAAGATCTCTGAAAGATAGATGTATAATGCTTTGGCATTGACAGTTCTTTAAGATTCCTTAATGGTAGACTTGAGTTTAACATACTTTTTCTTGTATGAAATTTACAACGCAAGTACGGCGGAGAGTTAGAGGAAAATAACTTGAAAGCAAAGATAGATAGGTGATACTGAAACAATTTGTCAATTTTCATCCAACCGAGCTCACAAATTTTCTGAGACACATGATCAAATTTCCTCGAACCAAAAATGAAACGACAACAATTATTTTGGATTTTTTGAAGACGGTATTTATCAATACTGTCAAGACATGGGTAATATATTACTAGGCAATAATTTATATATGACAAGACAAGAGACTCACATAATTTCTTCCTCAATTTAAAATTGAGTAAAAGGTAATTTGAATAAAGAAGTTTCAATGCTACATAAGATTTTTTAATAATGTTAGAAATATGGGTCTTAAAACGAAAATCGTCATCAATCACCAATCCCAAATTTCTTACAGTATGTAAAACTGGTAGTTTTATGTTATCAAATTTAACATTAATATTGTCAAAAAGAACATTTTTAAATTTTCGGGGAGCGAAGCAAATAACTTTGCATTTATTTATATTCAGTTGGAGGTTAATATCAGATGAAACATTTGCTATATTTTGTAAGTCATTATTTATATGGTTAGATGCTATATCAACTTCGTTAGGTAGGAAATAATGCTGCATTTGGGTGTCATCTGCAAAGGCTCTTTTTTTAGATACTGAAGGTATCTGCAACAATTGGGAAGTATATATAGTAAAAAGAATTGGGCCTAAGACCGAGCCTTGCGGTACGCCTGATGTTATTAAGCCAATTTTAGATTTACCAGACTCGGTTACAACTTGTTGATGTCGATTTTGTAAATATGATTTAAAAAAAGAAACAGAAATTTGATCGAACCCATAATATTCCAGTTTTGTGCAGAGGAGTTGGTGGTCCAAAGTATCAAAAGCTTTTGAATAATCCAAAAGAGTTACAATACTTGCGTGGTTTTTGTCAAGTTCAATCAGGCAATCATCGATAACAGAAGCTAGAGCTGTCGTTGTGCTATATCCCTTGCGAAAACCAGATTGATCTTCAGATAATATCTCTTCTTTTACTATAAAATTAAAGATTTGATTATAGATACATTTTTCTAAGACTTTAGATAATGTTGGAAGAATACTTATTGGTCTTAGGTCTTCTGGAGAGTTTACCTCGTCGATTTTGGGAATAGGATGAATTAAAGATGAATTAAATTTACCCAAATTACCTACTAATTAAATTAACCGTTGAAGAACAAGCAGGCCCTCGCTTTTTATCTACTCGCGGTAGAATATAGCATAACCTAATAAAATATTTTGTACAGTTTGTGCATTTATTCCGTTTAATTTGTTATATTGGATAAAATAATTCAGATTGAGTCGTTCAGTGAATGCTGAGTGAGGCAGCGCGAGTACATTCCTAGCTTGACGGGCTCCCAGGACATGTCACAATGCTACCGATGGGGTTTTGAGGAAGACCAGCTGCTCGAAGTCTTCATCTCGGTCTTTTTGGATACGGCCTGAGTGTAGTTCGAGGTGGCTCGTTTGACGGGGTCGCGCACTATGACGAATGAATGGATCAATTTATGCATTTATTCCGTTTAATTTGTCCTACAATAATCATCACACTGGATAAAATAATTCAGTTGGAGTTGTTCTTTGATTTCTGAGAATAATTTCTAATTTTTGATTTGTTCGCTGATTTCTGAGAATTATTATAAAATAAAAACCAATTTGCCATGTTAATTCCCTATGTCCAGACTTGGATGCGGTACCCTGTATAACCTACAAAAACTAAATAATAACGATAGCTAGGTTGGAGACTTAATTTGGAAACAGGTTAACAACAATAAAAAAAAAGTAATGTCCCTGACGATAATTTTTTTTATACAAAAAATACATAACACAAACATTGTGCGCAAATCCTTGAAGATTTAATTTTGGTACAAATTTGCACCCATAAAAATAAATTGAAGCAGTTTTTTAGAAAAATGAGAACTAATCATCAACTCATTAACGCATATATTGGATACAGTTTAACACTAAAGTTAGCATTTTTTTTACAAATAAAACGATTGTGCGGATACATATATAAAAACCTCAGCGGTACCTCGTTGTCCAATTTAAAAACGTTCTAATAAGTGTGCTTAATTTATTGTAATGTTACTCAAGACGATCATCTTTTCTGTGCTTTTTATCATCATTGTGGTTCTGTGGAAGAAACGATGGTTGTTGTATCACTCTTGGAAAATTCCTGGACCATTTGCGGTGCCTCTAGTCGGAAGTGCGTTTCTGTTAAGCGCAACAAAAGATAGTGAGTAATAAAATTTCGTGTTTTTTTTTTTTGGGAGGAGGAAAATCGAAATTTATCCACAGATTTTTTCGACTTGATTTATCGAAATCTGGATTCCTGGAAACCAGTTACTAAATTTTGGGTAGGCGCAGAGTTGTACATAGTGACCACGAGACCGACAGATGTAGAAAAAATTTTAACGAATTGTCTAACAAAGTCGCCTTTCTACGACAATCTTGGTGGTGTAATAAAAGACAGCCTTCTCACACTAAAAGGTACTAGAATATTTTTACCATACAGTGAAAAATTCTGAAGTTCGCAGTCAGTATTTGGAAAAAACATCGCAAAATGATCAATCCCTCTTTCAAATCGACGATTTTAAATTCATTCCATGATGTATTTGTCAAGTATTCAAGGGAAATGGTGAAGTTTTTGAATGATGCAGAAGGAAACGAACAATCAGATCTCGTTTCAGTCATATGGGAAAAAACACTGGATTCTGCTTTAGGTATGCAATATTCTCGAGCTTATTAGTTGTTATTATTGTTGCTATTTTAAAGCCACTTTAACGAACGTAAAACCGGATGCGATAAAAGAGCGAAGACGTGCCATTACAGCCGCTACGAAGTACATAAGTCTGTTTTTGTTTAACACTTTCTATAATTTTTGATTTCAGAATCGAAGAAATATTTATACAGAGATTCCATAACTTCTGGCTTCTGATCGATTTTATTTGGAAGTTGTCCAAATTACATGAGGAATATAAGGCGGCTTGTCAAATTGGTCACGCAATTGCCGAAAATGTACGTACTATGTATTTAGTCCAAAAAACGAAATTGTTGTTTTCGATTTTGCAGATTATAACAGAAGAACACAAGTCGTATGAATCACTAAAATTTTCAGGTGATATTATTCGAAGTGAGCATTTTCTGCCTCATTTGATTAAATTAAACCAAACCAAGCAGATCACCCGGAAAGAAATTTTGGAAGAAATGAGTTTGATGCTTATAGCGTCGAGTGAAACGACGGCACTAACAGTCAATATAGTTTTAACCATTTTAGGAATCTATCCAGACATTCAGGTCTTTACGCCAAAATACTAATACCAGGATCAAGTTGTTCTTTTAGGAAAAAGTATTCGGGGAACTCGTCTCGGTTCTACCAACCATCGAAAAAGATCCGACTTTGGAAGATATCAGTCGTTTAGATTATCTAAAACGCGTGGTAAAAGAAACGATGAGATTAGTTCCTATAATTCCCTTCATCTTGCGATATACCGACGAAGACATTAAGTGTGGTAATGTATTTAAGGATGTAGATTTCAAAAAAACTCATTTTCGTACTTATTCCAGGATCTTATGTTTTCCCTGCCGGATCTAACTTCTTCGTTCCTATAATAGTACTGCACAGAGATTCAGACGTGTGGCCCGAGCCGGAAAAATTCGATCCAGATCGGTTTCTCTATGACAAAATTACGAAAAGAGAACATTGTTCGTACATTCCTTTCAGTTTTGGTAGTAGAAATTGCATCGGTCTGTAACTGTAGGCAATTGTATGTCTTTTTCAATCACTTTGTCTTAGGTTTAAGGTATGCAATGATGTCAGTAAAAGTAATGCTTGCAACGATTTTGAGAAGCTTCAAAGTACAAACTGTTGGTTTAAAATCATGGAAGGACATCCAGTGGGAATATTTGATCATGCTGAAGCCTAAAAATATTCGTCTACTTTTCGAAAAAAGAGCGTTTTGATCGTATGTGTTTTCCCAAAAATACTAAATCACTGAGTGATATTTAATCGTTTTCTAAATTTTTTTCACATATAATTATTAACAGGGTAAAGACTCCAAAAATATGCAAACATGTAACGTTTGTAAGGTAATGCCAATGATTATAGTGCTCGAAATAAAAGCCTTTTTTTTAATAGAAGAATTTATTTCATTGATGTGTCCTTTTTTACATAATTCACTAACAGCAACATATCTGCCCTGATCTAAATAGTAATGGAGCCTTCTCCACACATCCTACACATTCTCTTACCTTCGCTTACTCAAAACTTATTATTTCTTTCTTCATTTCCACACCTAAATCTCGCAATTATTTTTTTTTTCGGGCTTTCTCTGTCTAAGTACTTTGGTATTGTTTCTGTTATTATCTTTCTATAGTCTGCATTGTACCTAGAATTACTTACACACGCTCTTCTCTCTTGTTTATCTATGTCTCTGTCACGCATACACAACTCTTCTCTCATACTCACCCCCATTTCTCTCTTTCTCTATATTTCCATCCATGCGTATCCCAGTCTTTCATAATATTCTTGTCTACCCTTGTGATGTTCTTTCCCTGCTTCCTTTTTTTTTTCCTTCCAGCATTCATACAATATCCTACATTCCTCTCTTTCTTTCAACCTTTCATCATACTTTACAGCTCTTTCCCCAGTGTATACTCGTAATGTAACTCTCGTTTACATTCTTCTCTTACTATATAGCCTGGCGTCTCTTTCCGTAGCCCTAACATCCACCTCAAATATTTTTCTTGTACTGCTTCAATCTCTGCATATTCCTTCCATCCCCATATCTCCACTCCTAACTAAACTATCAAACATTTTCATCCTTCTTCTTACGTCATGTCCAAATATTCTCTCACCTATACTCCACACCATTTCCATTATCTGCATTGCTTTGACCCTTCTTTCTCGTATGTGTGCTTTTACCGTATTAGTTGTTGTAAACTTAAATCCTAAATATTTAAATTCCTTTACTGTGTCTATGATTCGATCTTCCCGACGCCACACTTTTTCCTCCCCTTTTCTCCCTTTTTTTCTAAACACCATCATTTTTGTTTTTTCTATATTTACCTCCAGTTTCTTTCTTTTAAAGTATCTTTGCAGATTTTTTTCATCTCATTCATTCCACATTCATCCTTCGCCAATATTACCAAATCATCTGCAAATGCCAAACACCATACCTTTTCTCTCCCCACCACAATTCCTCCCGCTTGTACTCCTCTAAACATTTCCTCGATATCGCTTATGTAACAAGCAAACAGACTGGGACTTAATGGGCATCCCTGTCTCAATCCTTTCGTCATCAAAAACATTTCGCTTTCTATTCCTCGCACTCTCACACTAGTCACTGTCTCTCTATAAATCTCTCTTGCTGCTACAATTAACTTTTCACTCAGTCCTCTTCTTTCCATGCATTCCCACAAACACTCTCTGTCCACCGTATCAAACGCGACTTTTAGGTCTACAAACAGTGCATATACCCGACCGCCTTCCTTTAGCAACTCTTTTTCTATTAGATGATGCAGGATATATACATTGTCCATAGCCCCTCTACCTCTTCTAAATCCCGCTTGACTTTCCGGTAATATACTCTTTTCGTTCATCTCTGTCACCAACCGTTCATTTAACACCATTGCGTACAGTTTATATACCGTATTTAGAAGAATTATTCCCCGATAATTCTCTACTTTTTCTTTACTACCCTTTTTATGATTGGGCATATTTGTCCTACTCTCCATTCCCTGGGAAAACCTTTGCGCATCCACACATCATTCATTAACTCGCTCAATCTTTCAATCATCCCATCCGTCCCAAATATCCACACTTCGTTTACCAACCCATCCCTCCCCGGTGCTTTTCCCCTTTTCAGTCTTTCTATTTGTTTTCCTACTTCCTCTACTCGAATCTCCGCTTCCCTTTCTCTACCATCAATCCCGGTTTTACTATCTTGCACTACAATTCTCTCTTCCTTTCCATTCAACAGTTTCATAAAATGCTTATTCCACTGTATTATAGGTATGTCTTCACTAATCGTTATTTTTTTCTTCCGTTCTTTATTTATATACTGCCATACGTCTTACTCAGTTCTTATGGCTTTAATTTTGTCTTCTTTTTCGTGCTGTATCTCTTCTTTCTTTTCTTTGCATCGTTTTCTATAATTATTTTTTGCTTGCCAGTACTCTTCTTTTATACCTTTCCCCTTTTTACACCTTCGTAAACATTTCCTTGCTTCTGTTTTTAAATCTCTGGATCTGCTATCCTACCATCTGTTTCTCATTTCTAAATTTCTCGTTTCAATTTCTTTTCTTATGGCTGCTTTTTCAATTTCTCTTTTTAATTCTTCCATTTTCTTTTCAGTTCCTTTTTCTTTAAATTCCACTTCCAACATTTTTTTTTTTATAATGCTCAATTCCTTTTTCATTCCATAGCCATATCTTCTTCTCTTTTCCTACTTAATTCCTTAAGCATCCGCTCCCTCTACTTATGCCCCTCACTTTTACTTCTAGTGGCATGTGATCGGAGTCCACTTTCTCCTATCTTGAATGTTTCTACCTCTTCTTCTGCTAATCCGTTTACTATTACGTAGTCTATTACCGATTCCCCTCTTTTACCTATCCAGGTAAATTCCCCCTCCTCGTCCACTTCCTTCACCCCATTCAAGACTTCCCTACCTCTTTCTTCAATTAATTCCCATAGCAATTTTCCGTCTTTATTTTCTACTTTATCTTTCGATTTTCGTGTGTTTTCCCCGTCTTTTTCCCTGCTTTTGTTCCCTATTCTGGCATTAAAGTCCCCTCCTAACAATAGAAATTCTTCTTCGGACTCTTCGATTTTTTCTTGTATTTCTTGTTTCGTGTTTCTCATTCCTCTACTATATATTGTGCAGATTCTCCATCTTTTTTTATTTACAGTCAGTTTTCTTTCAACTAAGCCTTCCATTTCTATTGCCCTCTCTTCTATTTCTTTTATATCTTTCTTCACTCCTGTTATGATTCCACCTTTTGCTCTACCCTTGCGTTTTTCTTTTTTTGCCCCTTGCAATTTCCACTGAAATTTTTTTGGCAACCCGTCTTTCAGTTTGTTCCAGTCTCTCTCTAGTATCCATGTTTCTGTCAGTCCCACAAAATCAAAATTTTTCACGTAGTTCCAAAATCAGTTATCTTTCTTTTTCAAACCCGCAATATTCCAAAAGAGTAATTTTAAACCACTTTTATCTTCCCCATTCTTCTTTCCCATTCTCCTATTATGTACAAAATCTACATTCTTAAACCTAAAGTCTTTATTTGTCCCATCATTACTACCCCTCCTCCCCTTTGTGTTTGTTTCTTCGGTTAGTGCTGACTTGATTTGAGAAATTTTTCTTCCAATTTTCCTTTATTTTCATTCCATATATACATTTTGTCCCCTACTTCCAGCTTCTTATATCCCACCCTTGTTGTGTATCCTTTTTTTCTTTCCTCTTTAGCTATCTCCCTAATTCCTTTTTAATTTTTTTGCTCTTGTACTGTCCAATCATTATCAATATATATTCTGTTTCCTCTCAGTTTATTTTTATTCTTCATCACCTCTTGTTTTTCCTCCCAAAGCGTCTTAACCAGTATTTTTTTGCTTTCCTCTTTCCCTATAATTATTGTTTCCAACACTTTTACTTCTACCTCAATTTCTTTTTTCAAAAATTCCTCTACTTCTTTTGCATCTGTTCTTTCCCTTATTTCCATACCCGTAATTATGAAATTGTTTCTTCTTTCTTCCTCCTCTCTTTTTTTTTCCACCTTCTTCTCTAAATTATGGATTCTTTCTTCGAAGCTTCTCTCCTTTTGTTTCCATTCTTCTCTTTTTATTTTACAATTTACAATTTTAAACGTGCTTTAAGTTTCTAAGAATAAAAAAATCAGCACAATTGAGATGGGGTGGGTGGGTGGGGTTTATATTTCGGCTTTTTTTCTTAATATACATAGTATTCTTTGAACAACACAATACTCAAATACATTTTTTAATTTCTCGTGAAAAATGAGGATTTTGCAGTTAAGCTCCAGACCTTCTTGGCTCACGACGATTAAAAAAAATCATCACAATTGAGACAGGGTGGGTGGGTGGGGCTACATTTTGCCTTTTTTTCTTAGTATGTGTAGACTTATTTCGACAACAAGAAACGTTTTAAGTTCGACATACACAAAAATTTACCATTTTAGATATGTTTTAAGTTTCTTGTCGAAATAAATCTACACATACTAACACAAAAGGGCAAAATATAAGCCCGCCCACCCGCCCTATCTCAATTGTGATGATTTTTTTATTTGCGGTGAACCAAGGGGGCGAAGTTTAACTGCAAAATATTTATTTCTTTATAAAAAATTAAAAATGTTTTTGAGTATCGTGTTGTTCAAAAAATACATTGTATATTAGGAAAAAAAGGCAAACTGTAAAATCAACATTGTATAAGAATATTTTACTTCGAAATTGCAAAAACCGAATGCTCTGAAATCGTGCAAATATTTTAAGATTATTTGAAACATGGTAAAATGTTACTCAAAATTTGTCCATCATCTTACATTTTTGTCAAATTTATGAATGTTTTTGGGAAAAAAACTAAGTATGAATTAATCGTATGCGTTTAGGACACAAAATAAACCAAATTTGGTTTTCTTTTCGTCGCTGATGTTTGTGCCAGTAATCGAATTCGGTCGAGGTATAAACATAAACAGTCGAAGTTAAGTATATACTGAGAAAGTGAAAGAAAGGGAGAGCCTAATTTTCACATTCTAGCAACTAAATCAATCACGTGAATGATATTTTATTCAAAATATTAGTATCTGAGTACATAAATAAATTGCTAAAATATATAATAGCCTCTAAATCAGCACGTCTAATATACAGAAATATTTGTCATTTTTCAAATTCAATTTTAGAGTACCGTCCCATTCTACTCGATGTCAAGATTTAGTGGTTGTACCAATTATGGTTATAACACGCCAACTACTTGTATTATGACATAAATAAATAGCTTGGCACATGATTTTGATATTTTCAACTGTACTACTCGAAAAGAGCTTAAGAGTTGTCTAGCAAAAATAAATTAAATTAAATATTTAGTTTACTTTACGAAAATCCAACGCGAACTAATAATTGCCTTTTTGTATAGTGACAATGATAATTTACTTAAGATGATGAGTGTTAAATAATTTAGTTATTTTCTGTGAAAGTCCTTGGAGACTTAATAATAATGTAGTAGATACTTAAAAACGTTAAATATACAATAATAGTGATAATAATAATTATTCAAATTGGTGAAAAACACACAAACTACCTCAGAATGTCATAAAAATCGTAAAATTGATACGACAAAAAAACAAATGACAAATACAAATAGTAACAACTCAACAGCTCATTAACGGACATTGAATTCAGTTTAACAGTTAAGACTAGTATTTTTTACTTCACGAGCGTAAGCTAGTAGTAGGAAGTATAGTAATCGAGTTCATCGGACGAATTGCTGTTTAACATTTTTGTTTTTTACATATAAACAGGTTGTGCGGACACGTATATTAAAGCCCTCCGTGGGACCTCGTTCTCAAATTTAAATCCATATCTAAAACCGTTGTTGAGCGAACTTGCTCTTATTATGGTATTGTGGGTTTTCATAACTTGTGTGATATTCATCATTATTTTGGTCTTTTGGAAAAAAAGACGGTTACTTTACTACTCTTGGAAAATTCCGGGTCCATTTTCACTGATCAGTGTGCAAATGTTATGTGGAACAAAAGATGGTGAGTTGAATTAAATACACGTATCAAAAAAAAAAAAAATTCAGATGCTTACGAAAAGTTTTGTCAAAACCTGGATACCTATAGACCCGTTATGAAAGGCTGGGCGGGTTCACAATTGTATATAGCGACCATGAGACCGGCAGACGTAGAAAAAATATTGACGAATTGTCTAAACAAGTCACCTTTCTACGAGACTTTTAACGATTTAATGAAAGACATCCTAGTGGCATCAAAAGGTAGTAAAATTGTTTTAACACACAGTAATAATAAATTATAAAATTCGCAGTCAACGTCTGGAAAAAACACCGAAAACTCATCAATCCCTCGTTTAATTTGAAGATTTTAAATTCGTTTCACGATATATTTGTGAAATATTCAAGAGAAATTGTGGAGTTTTTGAATGAGACAGAAGGTAGCGAACAAGTGGATCTCGTTTCAGTTATTTGGGCACAGACATTTGATACTGCTTTAGGTAAAGGCGAATTTTTTATCATTTAACTAGATTAAATCTGTGTAGTTGTTTTTTACTATTGTAACAGAAACCTTCGCAAACGTAAGACCGCATGTGATCAAGAAAAGATACAATGCCATTAGGGCCCTCGTGAAGTAAGACTTTGTTTTTGGGTAAGAATTTTTATACGTTTTTATTTCAGATACGAAGAGATAGTTATACAGAGATTCTATAAATCTTGGCTTCTTATTGATTTTATTTGGAAATCATCCAACTTATATAAAGTGCATCAAATGGCTTGCCAAACTTTTCGTGCAATTTTCGAAAAAGTGTGTACTATCATGTTACAAAAATTACATTTTGACTTTTGTCTTTGCAGACAAAGCGTATGAGTCCGAAGACAGAATTGGTATGTAATAATTAATTCAGTTTAAAAAAATTATTTTGAAAATTTTGATATTCATCAAAGGTTGGTTGGATACATCAGGCAAATTTTGATGTGTTCCGAAGATGTATTTACAATTTTACAATAACTAGTCAAATCGTTTCCATAAATTCTAGCAACCCTGTATACTTTTTTTTTAAGATGATACTATTCGAAGTAAGCTTTTTCTACCACACTTGATAAAATTCAGCGAAACCCAGCAGATTACCTATGAAGAAATTCAAGAAGAAACGAGTTTTATGATTACAGCAGCAAGCGAAACGACAGCAGTCACAGTCAACACTGTATTAACGATGTTAGGAATCTATCCAGACATTCAAGTAAATTACGCAAGATCTATAGAACCACGCTAAAACTATTCTTTCAGGAAAAAGTTTACCAGGAACTCGTTTCAGTTCTGCCACTCATAGAAAAAGATCCGACTTTGGAAGATATCAGTCGTCTGGATTATCTAGACCGCGTGATAAAAGAAACTTTGAGATTATATCCTGCAGTTCCTATCACTTTGCGATACGCCGACGAAGACATTAATTGCGGTAATTTAATTTAAAATGTGGATCCCAAAAAATATGTTTCTTGTTTCCAGATCCTTATGTTTTCCCTGCCGGGTCTAACCTCATTATTCCTATAGTACTATTGCACAAGGATCCGGATGTGTGGCCTGAACCGGAAAAATTTGATCCAGATCGGTTTCTCCCGGATGAAGTTGCAAAAAGGCATCGTTGTTCTTACATTCCTTTCAGTTTTGGTGCCAGAAATTGTATAGGTTTCAGGTATGGGATGATGTCGGTAACAGCAATGCTTGCGACGATCCTGAGACGCTTCAAGGTACAAACTCCTGATTTGAAGTCATTGAAGGACATTGAGTGGGAGTATCTCATCATCCTGAAGCCAAAATATAGTCGTTTTCTTTTCGAGAAAAGAACATGTTGATATCGTAGTTTTCCAAAAAAGCGGGGTTATTTAGTGTATGAATTTTCAGGAAATAAGAACGGTTTTTAGTTAAGCTCATCTATTTTGTAAAATTCATCGTACTGTGTGGAATAAAAAGAATTAAAACAATTTGTGCAAAGATAACGATCTAATATACCTATAGCTGCTAATTTATTCTTAGATGTCCCATGGTCATTAATTTGATATTGCTGTGAGTCTTGAATTGTGCAAAGGGTCGAAGAATGTATTTGACAGTATTATATCTAGTATCTGTATCTAGATAAAATCGAATTTAAGCACAAAATATCTGTATCTAGGTACAAAATTAATGGCGCAGATACAGATACATTTTTTATTTCACTTTTTTTTCAGTAGTTATTAGTTGAGTTATACTGATAGTAATTTTTGATACTTTATGTTGGTGATTTTGGTCACATAAACAAAAATAGAGGTAAGAGGTCCACTAATAGTTCTGTCACGGAAATTTTCATATTTTAAATACCATCATTTCCTACATTGTAGCCTTCAATATTTATACATCTTTAAATATAATCCTGAGGGGTAATAAATCTAAGCCAAGGTAAGATGGTATTTTAAAAACCAGTAGTTGTATTTGTGTTATTAAATAAGAGTAATTTTAATAGTAAAAATATTTGTTTAAAGTATGTTATTATTTTTAGAAAATAATAATTGCGTGTTACATAAAAAAAATCGAAAAAAATTAATAATTTAAAAATTGAAAAGTTAAAATTGAGAAATCGAAAAACTGAAAAATCACAAAATTGAACGAAATATCCAAAAATTAGGAAATTAAAAAATTGAGAAACAGAAAAGTCAAAAAAGTAGAGTCGAAAAATCGCAAACTTAAAAAATCTAAAAATTGAAAAATCAAAAACCTGAATAATCGAAAAATTGAAGAACTGAAGAACTGAAAAATCGAAACTTTAGGAAGTGGAGAAACGGGAATATAAAAAAATAGATTAATTGAGAAATCCGAAAACTCGAAATTCAGAAACGCCAAATTTGAAAAATAAAAAAATATTAAGAAGAACTGAAAAATCGAAAAATCTAATATTTAAAACATTGAAAAGTTAAAATATCCTACAACTGAAAAATGGAGAAATGCAAACATCAAAAATTCAAAAAAATAAAAATTCGAAAATCTAAAATTTAAAAATCGAAAAACTGAAAAATCAACGACTCGAGAAGTCGAAAATTTAAAAAATTGGAAATTTGAAATATCGGATAAATCAAAAATCGAAACATCGAAAAATCGAGAAACCGAGGAGCAAAAAATCGAAAAACCAACAAATCGAAAAATCGAAACATTGTAAAATTCAAAAATTGAGACATCGAGGAATCGAAAAATCAAAAGACAAAAAAATCGAGGAGCCGAACAATCGAGAAATCGAAAAATCAAAAAATTGAGAAACCGAAAAATCGAAAACTTAAATATGGAAAAATTGATAAAACGAGAGATTGAATAATCAAAACATCGAAACATCCGAATCTCAATAAATTGAGATCTCAAAAAATTTAAAAATTCGGAAATTTGAAGAACTAAAATATGGAAAAGTTGAAAAATTGAGAAATTGAAATATAAAACAATCGGAAAATTGAAAAATCTAAAGTATAAAAAACGAAAAACTGAAAATCCAAAAATAAAAAATAGAAAAATCTAGAAGTCGAAAAATCAAAGAATCGAAGTATTGAAAAATATCAAAACTGAAAGAAATATCCAAAAATTGAGAAATCTAAAAACCAATAAAGCGAAGTCGAAAAATCGAAGAATTGAAGAACTGAAAAATCGAAAGTTTGAGAAGTGGGAAAATAAAAAATAGATTAATTAAGAAATGAGAAAACTGAAAATTTAAAGCAAAAATTTGAAAAATTGAAAAATTTAAATACTGAAGAACTGAAAAGTCAAAAATCGAGAAATCGAAAAATATAACATTTAGAACATTGAATAATTAAAATATCGCAAAATTGAAGAATCGAGAAATCCAATTCAATTTGAAAAATTGAAAAATCGGGACATTGAAAAATTGGAAAATCCAGAAATTGAAAAGCTCAAAAGAAAAAAAATCGAAAAACCGAGAAATCCAAAAATCTAAACATCGAAAAATTCAAAAACTGAGACTTCGAGAAATCGAAAAATTGGAGGATCGAGAAATTGAGGAGTCGGAAGCCGAAAAGGAAAGTTAAAAATTGAAAAATTGAGAAATTGAACAATCAAAACCACGAAACATCTGAATTCGATAAATTGAGAAATTAAAAAATTGAATAATCGAAAAATTTTAAAAAAGAAAAACTGGAAAATCGAAAATTAAAATTAAAAAAATCGAAAAATTGAAAAATTGAAATATAGAAGAATTGAAAACTCGAGATATCGAAAAACCTAGAATTTTAAAAAATGTAATATTAAAACATCGAAAAGTTGAAAAATTGAGACCGAAGCATTAAACAGTCGCAGAATTGAAAAATCTAAAGTTTACAATAAATTGAAAATCCAAAAAGTAAAAAATCGAGAAATAAAAAAAAATCCATCAATTCAAAAATCGAAAAGTCGAAAAATTGAAATATTGAAAAATCTCATAACTGAAAGAAATATTCAAAAAACTGAGAAATTAAAAAATTGGAAAATTGAGAAGTCGAAAATCTAAAACAGCAAAATCGAAAAATCGTAATCTTAAAAAATTCAAGGTGTGAAAAATCGAAACTTTAGGAAGTCCAGAAATGGGCAAATAAAAAAAAATACTTTAGAAATCGGCAAACTGAAAATTTAGAAACGTGAAAATTTGAAAAATTGTAAAATCGAAATATTTAAAAACCGTAAAATTGAAGAGGACAAAAATTGAGAAATCGAAAAATAAAAAAATCGAGAAATAGAAAATTTGAAGAATGGAAGAATCGGAGAAGATTTAAAGTTGAAAAATGGAGAAATCGACAAGCCGAAAAATCTCAATAGCGTATTTATAATTCAGGACTATGCTACTTTTTAAAATTTAAATAACATTATAAATTGGAAAATGTTGATTTTTTTCCAAAAATCTTGATGTCTAAGGTGAAAACTCGACACGGATGCACATTTTATTTATTTATTTATTTATTTATTTATTTATTTATTTATTTATTTTATCTTGTTTTCGAAATATAATAAACATTTCAAACAATGTCTGTAACTTATTTTAATGTAAATTATATTCATGTGGTTAACAAAATCAGATGTAATATTAGTGTGATTTTGACCTTATTCTAGATTTTATTACAGCAGAACGGCGTGTCCTTTTTAAATCTTAGAAGTTACGGAAACTAGTTCAAGAAACAATTAGTTATCTCGTATTTTTGAAACAAAATCTACCAAAACGTCGGATAACAGCAATTGATTTTCATAGAAACAAACAGTCTTCAAAGCAACCTTTAACAACTCGATATTACAAACATGCCTCTTAAGTTCTTCATGCGTTTTTTTCTGTCTTGTAATTATTTGTAATGTCAACGCCGAAAGTTTATGTCATTCTGTTATTTACTTTGAATATATATTTTCATTTTGTGTTAATATTTTTGTAACACCACGAATCTAAATTTTACTTAAAATCTTGTTTTACTTTAATCTTGTAAAACTAAACAATTATACCAGTTTAAAAAACCCTTGGTAAGTTTCTGTCAGTCTTCAGATATAGTCAAATAAAAATAGGCGTCAAATTCATTTAAATACAATTCTTTCGTATCACGTTACAACGCATTGCTTCATTTTTTTTATGTCAAGTATATTTTCATATTTTGTACATATATGTTTATACACATTACTGTTTAGGGAACAATGTTAATTATGGATTTATGGATAACTCCTCGTATAAGAGCAGAGTGAAGGGTGTTTGCCTTTGCTAATGTTTGATGGCGCCATCTGATGTAGAGTAAAATAAATCTAATACGTTGGCTCACTGTAGTGAAAATGCGCGTTGACGAAAAATTTGTCCCACGCCCCCTGGATTCCTTGTCCTAAAACTCACTATTTAGGCGAAGTAAAATTTGTATTAGGTTGTCCAACTATAATATACTTAAACAATGGTATAGGTCAAACTCTATCTGAGTCAATTAGATCATCCATGACTAATTTGCTGATATGAAGGTTATAATACACGCGAGTAATGTTGGTTGCATAGTCAAATTTCAATAAAACTCCTGTGACTCCACTACGTACGTTTTAGCAAATTTCAAAATATTGCTGGCAACAAGCTACCAAAAACCAAAATTTGTGTACACAAATCGCTAATTGCAACAAAATTTAAACGAAGCATGAAAAAATAACAAAAAAATTACGGTGGAAATGTTTGGAACCAATGAAGCTTTGTTGTAATAAATCAAAACAATTATTATAAATGGGAACAAAAAACAAAAAATACAGTGGAAATATTTGGAACCAATAAAAATGGTGCCATTAATATAGATCAAAGTGCAGTTTTAATTTTAGATCAAATTAAAATCTATAAAAATCCAATATGGCGATTTTGCTCGCCGAAAAAGTAGGAATTTCTAAGAAAAAGTGCTGCATACTAATATAAAAGATTAAAATTCAAACCATAAACAAATAAATTAAAAGTTAATAATAATTAAGATTCGTTTTAATTTGCATGTACACGTTGCAGTTCAGTGATCCCATGGCTGCTCCTATAATGACCATTCTTCAATTTTTTTATTTTTCTGCATTTTTAAGAACAAAGTGAAATACTTGCCAAGTTCATTAAAATTTTATAATTATTTAAATTTACTGGTATTGACCAAAAACCCATTAAATACATTTAATTTTAATTTAATTAATGAAAAGTTCTGATCTATGGAAAAACATGATAAGATAAAGTTGCCTTTTTTGTTTAATAACACTAACGATTAGTTCATCGCGCAAATATTCTATAGTGCTACCAAAAATTAAAATCTGCATAAAGTCACTTTTAATAAACAAGAGCGCAAGGACAGTAAGTTTTTCTTGCCTTAAAGTTGAACGACTCGACTTGAGAAATTCTTCGAAAACTCAACCATTAATCTTATCTAGTTTTGGAAAAAAAATCAAAATTATAAAACAATATTTTGCAAGTTAATTTTGAATTTGCAAAATCGAATACTTTGAAATCTTGCAGATGTTTGAAAATCATGATAAAGATGATACATTTTTAATTAAAATACATTTGCTTATCCCCTCTAAAAAATGTATGACGTCACCTCAAAATTTTGCAGAATAAATCCTATCTTAAATGTATAAAATATGATGAGTTTTATACTTGTGATTTATCACTGCATTAATATTTTTTAGATTTGGTTATACAGCGTGTCTCAAAAAAGTTAATGACTGAGTCAATTTATTTTATTGAAGAAATCAAGAATAGCAAAACTGAATACTTTGAAATATTGTAGATGTTTTGAAGTTTTTGTAAGCATGGTAACTTTTTTGAAAATTTGATTAATCAAATATGCGCAAAATCAAAAATCGGAAAAACTGAAATTCACTAATGCAAAAAACAGAAAATCGAAAAATATAAATCGTAAAAATCGAAAATCTCAAAATAGCTGATCAAAAAATCGAAAATTCAATTAATCAAATACCTAGGTCGATCGAAAAGTGGAAATTCACAAACCTCAAAAATCGAAAAATCGAAAATTGAAAAACGGGAAAACCAAAAAATCGAAAAGTCAAAAATTTGTAATATTGAAAATTAAAAAAATCAAAAACAGAAATAAAAAAAATCGGAAATTAAAATAATCAAAATATATAAAGTAAAAAAAATTGCAAAGTCTAAAAACTGAAACGAACAGAAAAATCGAAAAAGCAAAAAATTGGAAAAACAAAAATTCGAAAAATCTAAAATCGAAAAAGTGGAAAATGGAAAATCTAAATAAACTTGAAAATTCTGAAAATTGGAAAATCGAAAACCAAAAAATCGGAAAGTAACAAAATTGAAGTCTAACAGTTGAGAATGGAAAAATTGAAAAACCGAAAATTCTAAAAATCGACAATGGACAAATTGAAAATCGCAAAATTTAAATTGAAAAATTGAACATAGAAAAATCTATGAATTAAAAAATCGAAAATTCGACCACTCAAATTTTCGAAAAATCATAAAACTGAAAAATCCAAAATTCCAATCATCGAAAGTCTGAAAACTGAAAATCGAAAATTCTGAAAAGCGGAAAATAGAATATCGAAAAATTTAAAAGAAAGAAAATTGAAGACTAAAAACCGAAGAATGGAAAAATTAAAAATCAAAAATTCGAAAACTCAAAACCGAAAAATTCAAAGATTTAAAAAGAAAATCGAAAAATCAAAAATCTGAAAATTGAAACTCGAAAATTTGTAAAATCTAAAGCTGAAAAATGGAGAAATTCATAATATTCAAAACTCAAAAAGTCGACAATCAAAAAACTGGAAAGTAAAATAATCGAAAAATCGAAAAGTAAACAAATTGCAAAGCCTAAAAACTGACGAACAGAAAAACCGAAAAATCGTAAAATCAAAAAGTGGAAAATCGAAAACTGGAAATTGAAAAATCGAAGATTGGAAAATCGAAAAATCGAAAATCGGAATATGGAGAATCAACAAATTAAAAAACCAAAAAATCGAAAAATTAAAAAATCGGAAATCGAAAAATGAAAAAAAAAACGAAAATTCAAAAATCGAATAATCCGAAACTAAAATAATAGAAAAGTGGAAAAGTAAAAATTACAAAGTCTCAAAACTGACGAACAGAACAATCGAAAATTAAAAAAAAATCGAAAAATATCTAAACATGGAAAAACCGAAAAATCGAAAATCGAAAACTCGAAAAATCGAAAATTCGATGAAACAAATACTCGAAAAAGCGAAAAGTAAAAAAATTGTAAGGCCTAAAAATTGAAAAATCAAAAAATCGAGAAAATGAAAATCGAAAAAACGACGATCGAAAAAAAATCAAAAAATCGGAAAGTGGAAATTCGGAAAGTAACAAAATTGATATCTAAAAGCTGCAAATTGCAGAACCTTAAAAACTGAAACAAACAGAAAAATCGAAAAACCACAAAAGCGGAAAAACGAAAATCGAAAAATCGTAAAATCAGAAAATGGAAAATCGAATAATCGAAAGTTGAAAAATCCAAGTTCGAAAAATAAAACAACTGAAAAATCGAAAAATTTTATGATTAAAAACGTAAAATCGAGAATTCGAGAATTCAAAAATCAAAAAAATCGGAAAGTAAAATATAATCGAAAAATGCAAAAAAATTGCAAAGTCTAAAAACTGACGAACAGAAAAATCAAAAAATCTAAAAATGGAAAGACGAAAAATCGAAAATTGAAAGAATGGCAAATTAAAAAATCGAAAAACGAGAAAACTGAAAACTCGAAAAATCAAAATACCGCAAATTTGAAAAATCAGAAAATTAGAAAGTAATAAAATCGAAAAGTTTTTTTTTACGTGGTATCTCCAGTAGACCTATTCACAGTAAGAATTAATTGAAGGTTCACCCACATCTCACATTTTGTGTGAAAAATAATGTCACAATGAATGCACTTAACACCACTTAATTTAATTTAGTGTCCGGCGGTTAAAGTCGGCCGGAAGTAAGAAGTCTTTGAAGTACCGACAAGCGTCCGAACCCTATGACGGTCAACTCCAAACTGCAATAAACTGCATTGCATCACCAAACGAGATTTCTGGTACTCTTTTTCTTCTTATATCGTTTTGGTATTCATTTGATATGCACATTTGTGTTGCTTCTTTTTCAACTCGAAGTAAATTTAAAAAGGATTTGGTTGAACCCAGCAAACCAATAATGGCACATACTATTTTTTGGCATTTATTGCATAGTTTAATGTTAAATGCACTTGTATGCATATTTTAAAATTTTTGCTGCATTTTTCATGGCAATACATTTGGTTATTGGTAGTATGCAGCACCTCAAAACGTATGCAAAATCCTTAGTTTTTAGTCACCCCAAAACGGTTTTTTACTTCTGCAATAAGACATTTGGCACATCCAAAAAAAAAAAAACAATGAAAAACTGCCCAAGAAGGATATGAAACAACCGATAACGAGACCAAAATCCTTGAAAAACCCTAATTCTTATGCCCACTAAAAGTATCCAGGGATCTAGACTACCAAAAAATCGGCAGTGTTGGGGACAGATACTTTTAAAAGTATCTAGATACAGATTGTTTGTAAATGTATATGTCTAAGCAAATCTAATGTCTGTTAAATTGTGTTAGAACCATTTAACGATTAAAATCCTAACTTGATCGGTGCATTAACAAACAATAAAACAAATTTACAGCACAGGTCCGCGTTGGTTGAAAATTAACACTCCCCTGACATATTTCTAAATGTTAAAAACCTGCAGAATTAAGATTCAAAATGGAGAAGGTATGAAGAAGGTAATATTCTATGTTTCGGTGCACTTTAAGCATCCAGCACGATTTGGATATATCCAGATCTTTAAACTAATAATCTTTATTAATAAAAAATTGCACGTGTTGTAACTAACTCGGATGTTAATCGGCGGGTAATAATCTCGAAAACTAGTTTTTTGTAATTTTTTGCACGTAGACCGGTTGTGCAGACACATATATAAAACTCTCCGACGGACTTTCGTGTGTGATCTAAATCTGCATCTAAAACCCATAGTTGAGTGAACTTACTTTTGTTATGGCGTTCTGGAATTATATCAATTGTGTGATATTTATTATTATATTGGTCCTTTGGAGAAAAAGATGGTTGCTTTACTACGCTTGGAAAATTCCAGGACCATTTTCAATACCTCTGGTGATCACTGCGAAAATGTTATCTGTAACAAAAGAGAGTGAGTTCGCTTTGACAAAAATTAACTACATTATTAGTAATTAGAGACACATAGGTAACAGACAAAAATTTCAGACGCCTACGAATGCATTTGTCGACTCGTAGATGCTTATAGACCAGTTATGAAATGCTGGGCAGGTTCACAATTGTACGTAGCGAGTTCAAGACCAGCAGATGTAGACAAAATTTTGACAACTTGTCTAAACAAGTCACCTTTCTACGAAACTCTTGACGATGTAATGAAAGACGCCATAGCGACATCAAAAGGTACCCTTTTTTTTTAATATCACGCCCAGTAACAAATTCTAAACTCGCAGTCAACGTATGGAAAAAACATCGAAAAATGATCAGTCCCTCTTTTAATTCAAAGATTGTGAACTCGTTCCATGATGTATTTGTTAAATATTCAACAGAAATTGTGAAGTTCGTGAATGAGGCAGAAGGTCGCGAACAAGTGAATTTCGTTTTAGTCATTTGGCAACAGACATTTGATGCTGCTTTAGGTAAACGCGAATTTCTGAATTTATTATTGTTGTTAAATTCTATTTCAACAGAAACCTTAGCAAACGTAAAACCGCATGTGATTGAAGAACGATACAATGCCATTACAGCCTTCATGAAGTAAGTTTTTGATTTTGGCGAACAGTCTTTACAAGTTTTTTCAGATTCGAAGAGATACTTATACAGAAATTCTATAAACCTTGGCTTCTGATTGGTTTTATTTGGAAATTATCCAACTTCTATAAAGTGCATCAAACGGCTCGTCAAACTTTTCGTGCAGTTTTCGAAAAAGTGCGTACTATATTACAAAAATTATATTTTTATTTTTAATTTTGTAGATAGTAGCAGAAGCACACAAAGCGTATGAGTCCGAAGACAGAAATGGTAGGTATGTGTTTATAGTCATAAACAGGCCACAACTCGATGGGTATAAATATATGATATGTACGTTTTTCTTTTTAAGATGATACCATTCATAGAAAGCTTTTTCTACCAAACTTGATCCAATTAAGCCAAGTTAAGCAAATTACCCTTGAACAAATTTTAGAAGAAACGTGTTTTATGATTATAGCAGGAAGCGAAACGACAGCAATCACAGTCAATATGGTTTTAATAATTTTAGGAATCTATCCAGACATTCAAGTAAATTACGCAAAAACTGTAAAACCACACTAAAATTCTTCTTTCAGGAAAAAGTTTACCAAGAACTCGTTTCAGTGCTGCCACACCTGGAAAAAGATCCAACTTCAGAAGAGATCAGTCGTCTGGATTACCTAGAGCGTGTGATAAAAGAAACTATGAGATTATCTCCTGCAGTTCCTTTTATTTTGCGATATGCTGACGAAGACATTAATTGCGGTAATTTAATTTAAAGCGTGTGTCATAAAAGATATGTTTTTTGTTTCCAGATCCTTATGTTTTCCCTGCCGGGTCCAACTTCTTAATTCCTATAGTGCAACTGCACAACGATCCGGATGTGTGGCCTGAACCAGAAAAATTTGATCCAGATCGGTTTCTTCCTGATGAAATTGCAAAAAGACATCGTTGTTCCTACATTCCTTTCAGTTTTGGTGCCAGAAACTGTCTAGGTCAGTATCTATCGTGAGATTTTTTAATTTTTGTCTTAGGTTTAAAATATGGGATGATGTCAGTGACAACAATGCTTGCGACAATCCTGAGACGCTTCAAGGTACAAACTCCTGATTTGAAATCATTGAAGGACATTGAGTGGGAGTTTCTCATCGTCGTGAAGCCAAAATATACTCGTTTCCTTTTCGAAAAAAGAGCATTTTGATCTTATGTAGTTTTCCAAAAGTAAAAGAAGAACAATTTGTAGTTGAACAACCTATTTTGTACCATTCATATTATTGTTTCAATAATACATAATTAGTTGAATTTTGACATTTTGCTTTTTTTGACAAACATTTTTTCTACAATATTAAGATCAAAACATAATTTTTGATTTATTGTCATTTTGATGACTTTTCAACTCTACATTTTTATTTTCTCGGAGCTTTCTTTTAACATCTGCAATCTTTAGTCTGTTCTTTTCTTTATCCTCCACACTTTTGTTCCATGGAGGATTGTCTCCTCAATATTTTCCCATTTTTCTACATCTGCAAAACGCCAAATTATTGTGCACTCGAAAAGAACCCAAGGATTTATAGACCAGCAAAAATTGGGAACCTGAAAACTGCTTCAAAATTACCAAAAAGTATTTAAAAAACCTCTTGCTTTTAGACACCCCAAAATATCTTTTTATTGTCTTGAAATTAGGTCCAGTGTGCTATTCTCACAACATTTACTCCTTACGATGGGCGGGGCAGTTTCTGCTAAAATAAGATCGACTTTGGCAAATGAGAAACCCTTCAAGAAAAGAGAGGGTGGGTGGGCGGGGCTAGTACCTGCTAAGATAAGACTGATATTGACAAATGACCTACTCTCTAAGAAAATGAAAGGTAGAGGGTATATTATTTGGCCATATCAGTTTTATTTAAGCAAGTACTAGACCCACCCACCCGCCGCGTATGTGATTTGCCAATATCAGTCTTAGGTATTATTATTATTCAATCCTACTGTATTTTCATATATATTATATAGAAGAAAAATTGTTCGAACTGAATCGGACCAATAACCTGTATGTTACTATGTAACTCAAATTATCAAGAATCTGAGCCAATTGGGTCATGAATGATATAAATTTGCTTATCGGTTATAATACTCGTGTGTAATATTGGTTGCCTAGTCGAATTTCAATAAAACACCATTACACATAAGTTATTTTAGCAAATTTCAAAATATTGCTGTCAACATATTCTCAAAACTAATATTGTAATCATTAAAAAAATTACAGTATGGTTGGCATTGCACTACATGGAGATATTGCTCACGGAAAGGATAAGAATTTCCAAGAAACAATTTATTTATATTGAAGTCCAGGACACAAAAATAAAAGATTAAAATTGAAACCATAAACAAATAAATTAAAGATTAATAATAATTAGGCTTCGGATCTTAGGTTTTTTGCCTCTTTATATCTACTTCAGGCATTGCAGCGAAATTTATATATTTATCCCAATTTAAAAAAATTCTGTTTATTTAACGCCCATTTATTCAGGCGCGGATACAGGATTTCGTTCAGGGGGGGGGCAATTTTTGTGCAATTTTACCTATCTACCAGAAATTCGTTCTAAACAAAAAAAAATATAAAATTTTAGCTAGTATACTCTTTTTCACATAACATGGGTGACATTTGGTTCATTTCATTACACGTATAGTGTACAGTAGAACCTCGATAATCCTAATTAATTGGTAAAAAGGTTTGTTCGGATTAACGATTTGTTCGGATCAGCAATTTTCCCAAAAATCTGAAAGGGAATTGAATAACAACTTCATACACAACTGAAAACAAACTTCAAGGAATAAACCTAAATTTTATTAAACAAAAATTAAAGAATTCTTAAGCAACAATGGATAATAGATACATTCTGAAAAAATATTACTCCGTGAAGATAAACACGCTATCTTTTGGAATAAACACCCCGGGATCTATACCCTGAAGTTTTTCAGAATTTTTAGATGAATTTTTCAAAAATAAAATTTTCCATTATGTATTCGTATTACCTCCATTATGCAAATTTCGACCCATTCTCGACGATTTTCGAAATTTAACTAAATATATTGTAGATTTTGGACCTCAGAAGTCACTTCTGGCTTCATTTCTTCGATAACTTAAACCATTTTTGCAGAATCGTTGATATATCATAATTTTTAAAAATTTCGAAAAATTCGAATTTCACAGCGAATTTTCCGAAAATATTGCTCCGTTCCCATAAACATGGTATATTTTTGGAATCAGCACATCGGGATATATATCTCTGAATTTTTTCAGAATTTTTAGGAAATTTTTTCGAAAATGAAATTTTTCTCATGCAAATTTCGACCCAGTTTCGACGATTTTCGAAATTTAACCAAATACTTTCTCTTGTAGATTTCGGGTCTCCGATAACTTCATCCGTTTTTCCAGAATTAGTTAATTCATTCAGTGCTTTGAAATATCGCAATTTTTAAAAATTTCAAAATATTCCATACAACATATGCAGAAAGATCTTGCGTCATTTTTGGAAATAGATATATGTTTTCAAGTTCAAATCGGATTGTAGAGTTTTTGTTCGGATTAAAGAGGCAGCGACTTCAAATAGCCTCTGTTCAGATTACTGGATGTTGAGAGTTCGGATTATAGAGGTTGTACTGTATTTACAAAATGAAATATGATTTCAAAATTTTGAAATTGGTCAAAATAAAGTACCTCGGTCGTGTCGGGCAATTGCACCCATTGCCCCCCCCCCCTGGATCCGCGCCTGCATTTATTACTACCTAAAATGCCTAATTTACCGTTAGAAACCTAAAGTGTTAATTAAACGAGTTAATTGTAAATTTTAAAAGGCTTAAAATAGGATTCCACGACCAACGAAGCGGACGTGCTTGCACAATAGAGATTTTCCGTGAATTCAATGTTTTGTCTAGCAGATTGTTTAAAAATGGGTTGTAAACAACGTCCTTGAGTTTAATGGTACGGGATGGTGTCGTCAACTGACAACGTTGGCCTATATTTCATTTAGGTTATAATAATATTAATAATAATGTCTTTATTGCCCAACAGTGTAAAATACACCAATTACAGGTACAACTTAAAAGAGCAATTGTATGTAAAAAAAGAACTAAATAAAAAGAAAAATAAACTACGAAACGATAGATAGATTAGTGGCTAAACTAATACTAAATTAATACAAAAATTAATGAATACTACTAAATATTACCTACTTTTTCAAAAAAAAAAAATCTTTCAACACATTTTTTAAACGTTGAATATCTCAAATGAAATATGTCAATATCATTACAAACTTCATTATATAAAGATGACATCAGGTATAGCGGCGATCTAACAATCATATTTGTCCTCGGGATATTGTAGGTGAAAGTTGAATGATGTCTGGCATATATTCGTGGGACCAAAAAGTTCAGTTTTTCAAGCATTTGAGGTATATCCAATTGGGAGTGAAGTAATTTATATAATAGAAGTAGAACATTAGTTTGACGCTTTACTAAAACAGGGATAAACTTAAATTCAACTAGGAGAAGATCGTGGTTATATCCTCTTGGGGGATAAACTTTATGAGATTTTAAGAATAAGTATTTTAGGAATTTACGTTGGATGTTTTCAATTATGACATTGTAGGTTTGATATATAGAAAACCACACAATGGAAGCATATTCAAGCTTGCTCAAAATAAGTGTTCTGTATAAGGCTACGAGGCAGTTAGTATTATAGAAAGATTTACTATTACGTATAATAAAACCCAGCGTCCGATTACAGGATGAAATAATATTAAAATAATGTTGATCAAATCGAAAAGCCTTATCAAAGTATATACCTATGTCTTTAACAGTGTTATATCGCGGGAGTATGCTTTGATCTATTTCATAATCATAAGTAATAATGTTCTTTTTTCGAGTAAATGAAATAATTTTGCATTTAGGAAGGCTCAATTTAAATTTATTGCTGATGCACCACTCATAGAGCCTGGTTAAGTTTTTTTGAAGAAAGATAGCATCTGCTAATGAGTTAATATTATGAAATATTTTCGCGTCATCTGCAAATAACAAAATTGAACAGTGTATGCTGGAAGGTAGATCATTTATGTATAAATTAAAGAGAAGTGGCCCTAATATAGATCCTTGAGGAACTCCTGAGGTAGCAATAAAAGAATAAGATACAAAGTTGTTATACTGCACAAATTGAGTACGGAGAGTAAGATAGGATCGAAAAAGGTTTAATAATTTACAAGTGAAACCAAAATTTACAAGTTTTTTAAGAAGAATATTGTGGTCAATACGATCAAATGCCTTTGTAAAATCCGTATAGATGACATCGACTTGTGATTGATTTTCCAAACTTTCAGATACAAATTGTGAGAACATTATGAGGTTTGTTGTTGTTGATCTATAATTTAAAAAACCATGCTGATACTTTGATATATAATTTTTCACTTCGGGGTAGATATGGGAATATAGAATTAATTCAAAAATTTTAGCAAAATTAGAAAGCAGGGAGATTGGTCTATAATTTTCAATTTTAGATGCATCACAGGACTTCAAGACAGGACAGATCTTAGATTCTTTCCATTTATTAGGAAAAACCCCTGTTTCAAGGGATTTATTAAAAATTAGTAGGAGTGGCTTAGCAATTTGAAACTTACAATCCTTAATTATGAAACTTGGAATCTGATCTGAACCTGATGTCATACCTGGTTTCAATCTTGTGATGGCTTTTATTATATCATCTTCCGTGATCTTAAATATATTTACAACACATGAGGTAGAATTTACAATATCAGCTAAATAATATTCATCAAGCGGATCAGATTCAGTATAGGTGGATCTAAAGAAATCACTAAAGGCATTTACTATTTCCATAGGATTTTCAAACTTGTTTATACCAAATGACATTTGGCCTGGAATTCTAGTTTTACCTTTTTTAGCATTAATGTAATCCCAGAATTGCTTAGGATCATGATGTATGTTAATTTGAATGTTGTTAATATACAATTTATAAGCAGTATTTATTTGCTTCTTTAAAAGGGACCTAATTTCTTTAAATTTCAGTAGGTAAGAATGTAGACCTGAAGCTCTGTATTTCTTAAGGTATCGGAATTTAAATTTAATATTATTTATTATTTCCCTATTGAACCATGGCGGGTAACGCCGCTTTTTTGACCGAAAGACAGGTACATGTTTACGGAATAAATTGAACAGGATATTATATAAACAATCAACCATCAGATCTACAGAAGAAAGAGTTGATAATAATGACCAATCAGTTAATAGGATATCATTGTAAAGAGAGATGAAGTCAGCTTTACGAAAGTTAAAGGCACTTATATTATGGTTATCATTACCATGGCGTGGAAAATTAATCGGTTTATCAACTGAGAAGGTGCAAACTAAAGATAGTGCTGGGTGATACTTGTCTTCTATTACCATTGGATTATCAAAGTGGCTAACTTCCCATTGAATATTCGAAAATGCTAAATCTAACAATTTAGTATTAGAATTGAAAATATTATTTATTTGATTTAAATTTAAAAAATGTGCAAATGTCTGTAGACGAAGAATTGTTTTATTAGGGATGATGTCATTAAAATTTGGAATATTGAAGTCACCTATTAGAATTATGTTATTAAGACTCACTAACTCTTCCTCAAAGAAATCACAAACAGCATTTAAACCGTCAAAAGACGGAGTACAAGGAAAATATATTACAAAAACCGAGAGAGATTGAAAACCAAGTTTTAATTTACATCCAACAAGATCTATAGATGGATTATTAGTTTGAAAAGCTTGAGTATCGATTTTTTCAACTGAAATGTTACCTTTGACAGCTAATAATACACCACCACCACGAGTTACGTTATTTGTTATCAAATTTCGATCAGACCTGAACACATTGTAAACATCTGTTAAGATAAATTCAGAATTATTTATAGAGTCAATTAACCACGTTTCCGTTAAACAAATTATATCAAAATCAGAATCACTTGAAGAAACCAAAAAATCATCCATTTTGTTTTTGAGGCTACGAACATTTTGGTAGTATAAGTAGAACTTTTTTACAGAATTGGGCAGGCCTAGTTTAAAGAAGGTTTTTTCTGGATTGTCGGAACACCACGTATGTATTTAATAAACAAATCTAGCTCACCTTTTTCACGTCTGTTTGTTATCTGGTTCAGTAACTCCTTATAATACAGCTTTGCTTATCAGTTTTATCTGATGACGCATGCACAGATTTAAAGTGCGGAACAGCATCAATATTACGACGTTTCCTTTTTATTAAGCCTAATAAATTGAATACATCTTTTTCTTCTTTAAGTGTTAATTTGATAGGTCGAATCTTATTGGTAACATACTTGCCAAGTCGAATTGGAGTTGAAATTAGTTCTGGGATGGAAGAACGCTCATTACCAGAATCATGTTGTAACAATTTCAGAAAATCGGAAACCAATTCAGCTTCTTTGTTCTTTCTAGTTTCATTATTTAGAGACGGATCTTGTTCAGGCATATTATATGAAATTATATTAGTTTTACGTTTTTGGCGTTCAGTTACCTCTTGTACCATACTCTCGTAATCATAGTTAGAGTCATTTTTAGGTAGATTTGATGTTAAATTTGTTATTTGTTGCTTTAATGCGTCAACAGTTTCACTAAGATTTTTTATTGTATCTAATAAACTTGGTAGTAATTTGCAACAGTTGCACGGTCTTGTATCACTTTTTGTGGAAAGGCAATCGTCACATTTCCAACAAGCACCACTTAGGGATTTGAAGGCATCGTATTGGGATTTATCAATACCAACACACTTAATGTGATAATGGTTGGTGCAGGAATTGCATTTAATTCCGGGAATTGTAGGGGTGATAGCACTGTTGCAAGTTATACAATAAACAACCATCTTAAAAAAAAGAAAATAATAGGAAAAATTAAAAAGAGGTAGTTAGACAGATAATATAACTGATTATAATCAGCTAAAGTTCAGCCACGTGAATAAAAACAAGTTTAAGAAAGATAATTAAACCCAAAAAAGAAACTCTAGCGATAACTGATATTCACACGAGCCGCTAGCGTCACAGAGACCCAACAAAAAAAGCTACATTAATTTGTTAATTGCGAATCCACCTAAAAATTGTTGATAATATAACAGTGCACACACACGTCCTACTGTCCAATTTATATTAATTAACCTGCAACGTAACTATTGAAAAAGATTAAAAACACACGGAGCACAGCTCACACACCTCCACACACTATCAATCGTTTTTTCAAAATATAGCCGGAAGAAGGTGACTCTCTGAAAAAGCATTTTATTTTAGAAGTTTATTGTTAGTGATATTGAGTGTCTTTGGGTGTACGTGAGTGTGCTGGGGCCGGTTTTGATTTTTGTGCATACAGTAAAGAATCCTCAAAATGCCTAAGGTAAAACCATCCATGAAAGATAAAATCAAATTATGGTTAGGGAATAATTTGGACACTAATTTTCAATTTCCTTCTTCAACCAAAGACAATATTCTGCAAAGTGTGTGGAAAAGTTCTAAGTAAACATTTAAAATACTGAAGCTTGAATTATGTTCATATTTTTGTTTCCTAGTTTAAGTGCGAAAAAAAATCACACTTTGAACAACACTGCAGTGGCGATGCACATAAAAAGAACGAGAATAAATCCAATAAACAGACTTTATTTAACATTAGTTGCGACAATGATTTTACGCAATTTTGCACCGATTTATGTATTAAATATTCCATGGAATAAAGTTAGTTGTCCTGAGTTTAAAAATTTTATGCATAAATACAGGAAGGCATTTACCGTCAAAAAGCACTCTGAGAAAAAATTATTTACGAAAATATTACGATATGGTGAGCACTAGAATTTTTATTTAAAAACTTTTTCACATAAATTTTATAATTTACAGGTACACTGGTCAACAGCTAAGCTCTAACTTTTATTATAGCAGCCAATTATTATTTAATTAACAATTTTAAATGATATTATAAACGGCTAAACCCAAACTTAGCTCTCATTTAAAAGTAATCTTCAATATTATCCTTTGAAAAATACAAAAATCGTACTATTAAGTAATAGGAAACTTTCTATAAGGTGAATTTTTTTGTGATCAAATTGCTACAAACTTCTTGGGAAACAATAAGAAAACTACGTTTAGTAAGTAGAAAACATGTTATCATCATATAAAAAATTTGAAATTAACATATTCTTAAAAGTGCATTTTATGTATTCCCATCTTGATTTTTTCCCCAAAAATTATGACGACGTGAGTGACGGACGTAGAGAACGCTTCCATCTGGGCATTTTGTGGATACAAAAACGTTACCAAGATCGATGGAACACCTAAATGCTCGCAGAATACTGCGGGACCATCAAGCGAGAGATCTCCAATGAAATCTATAGGAGGCAACCGAAAAAACGTCGGTCTTAGCTGTTTCTTTTGTTTTTTTTTCGTTTTTTAAACTGCAATCGTTGTTTTTTTCTTAATTATGGTTGTTCTTTTGTTAATACATCACTTTTCGCCGTTAAAGATACAAAAATTAAATTGTTTTACCTGCTTTTTTGTTTTTAACATCAAATATGCATTTTTATTTTTAATTGAGCTAAGTTGTAAGGTTTATGCCCTTTATTACAAACACAGAGACAAATTAAACGAAAACATTACAATTATGTCAAAGTTAGAGAGAAAAAATTGAATTTTGTTGACCAGTGAATTAAACAAATTAGAAATTCTATTGGCAACAATAATATATTAGCGTCGATGAGACGACGGACAGATTAGGGAGATACATAGACCATTCAGTATTTGGAAAGTTATCTTCTGAAAAAGCTGGCCGTCCATTTCTACTAGCTACTTATTTGGCTGTCAGAAATAATTTGTCATAATTTTGGTTCTGATCATTGCTATCTATGCGTTCATTATTATTTAAAAATAAAAATTTAACAAAACTCTTTATGATGCGTTGCAAATTCAGAAATTTTCAGGCGTGAACAGATAAAATGAACATACTGTATATATATATATAATATGTCCTTTTAAATTGTGTTTACTGCACAACTTCATAATTATTGTTAATTATTTCCTGTAACTGTGTTTATTATTATCTGTTAGGAATAAAGTATAAAGTATAATAAACAGGTTGTTCAGACACATATATAAAACCATCCGGGTGGCATTGCTGTGTAATTTAAAACTGCTTCTAAAGCAGTTGTTGAGTGAACTTATTTTCATTATGGTATTCTGGTATTATTTCACTTTTGTAATATTTATTATTATTTTGGTCCTTTGGAAAAAAAGATGGTTGCTTTACTACGCTTGGAAAATTCCCGGCCCATTTTCACTACCCCTGGTGATCACTGTGAAAATGTTATCTGTAACAAAAGATAGTGAGTTCGTCTGGAGCAATATCAAATAAATTAAAAATTAAAGACATGTAACAGAAAAAAATTTCAGATGCTTACGAAACTGTTCGTCGAATTTTGGATACCAGTAGACCCGTGGTAAAATGCTGGGCGGGTTCACAATTGTTTATAGCGACTTCAAGACCATCAGACGTAGAAAAAATGTTGACAAATTTTCTAAGCAAGTCATCTTTCTACGAGAATATTAACGATGTAATGAAAGACACCCTGCCGACATCAAAAGGTATTAAAATTTGTTTAAATTCATCACGTGCAGTAACAAATTCTAAATTCGCAGTCGATGTATGGAAAAAACATCGAAAAATGATCAGTCCCTCTTTTAATTTAAAGATTGTAAATTCGTTCCATGATGTATTTGTAAAATATTCAAAAGAAATTGTACAGTTCTTGAATGACGTAGAAGTTTGCGAACAAGTGAATCTCGTTTCAGTCTTCTGGGAACAGACATTTGATGCTGCTTTAGGTAAAGTCGTAACATTTAGATGAAATTGTTCTTGTGTAGTTTTATTATTGTTGTTAAATACAATTTTAACAGAAACCTTAACAAACGTAAGACCACATGTGATCAAGGAAAGATACAATGCCATTAGAACCATCGTGAAGTAAGTCTTTGGTTTTGGTGAAGAGTTTTTATAAGTTTTGATTTCAGACTGGAAGAGATACTTACACAGAGATTCTATAAGTGTTGGCTTCTCATTGGTTTTATTTGGAAACTATCCAACTTATATAAAGTGCATCAGACGGCTTGCCAAACTTTTCGTGCAATTTTCGAAAAAGTGCGTACTATCATGTTACAATATTTACATATTTATTTTTGTCTTTGTAGATAGGAGCAGAAGCACACAAAGCATATGAGTCCGAAAATACAAATGGTATGTGTTGTCAAAAATAGTAAGAACTTCCCTTGTATCTGAGGTACATTTTAAAATTTGTTTGTAAAATTTTAATTTCTTCCGAAAATCTATTTTGAAAATTTTGAAATAATGTTATCAAATTATTGGTTCAAAGTATCAACTAGTGAAGTATGTTTTGGAGATTAGGACAAAAGGCCACCGCCCGATTTTTTATACCGTATGGTCTGTAAAACGTTAGAAAAAACACAAAATTATTTAGTCCCCAAATCGATCCCATCACGTTACTTCCCTAGCAATAACACATTTAAAATTTATATGCATGTCTAATACAATACATACTTTCTTTTTAAGATGATACTATTCAAAGTAAGCTTTTTCTACCACACTTGATTAAATTAAATGAAGCCAAGCAGATTACCCGTGAAGAAATTTTAGAAGAAACGAGTTTTATGATTATGGCAGCAAGCGAAACGACAGCAATCACAGTCAACACGGTTTTAATAATTTTAGGAATCTATCCAGAAATTCAAGTAAGTTACGCAAAAACTGTAAAACCATGATAAAATTGTTCTTTCAGGAAAAAGTTTACCAGGAACTTGTTTCAGTTCTGCCACACATGGGAAAAGATCCAACTTTGGTGGAGATCAGTCGTCTGGATTACCTAGAACGCGTGATAAAAGAAAGTATGAGATTATATCCTGCAGTTCCTTTTATTTCGCGATTTGCTGACGAAGACATTAATTGCGGTAATCTAGTTTAAAATGTGGATCATAAAACATATATATTTTTTGCCTCTAGATCCTTATGTATTCCCTGCCGGGTCGAACATCGTCATTCCTATAGTGCAACTGCACAACGATCCGGAAGTGTGGCCTGAGCCGGAAAAATTTGATCCAGATCGGTTTCTCCCGGATGAAGTTGCAAAAAGGCATCGTTGTTCCTACATTCCTTTCAGCTATGGTGCCAGAAACTGCATAGGTCTGTATTTATCGGCAGCTGAATTTTTTTTTTTTTATACCTTTGTCTTAGGTTTAAAATATGGGATGATGTCAGTAACAACAATGCTTGCGACGATCCTGAGACGTTTCAAAGTACAAACTCCTGATTTGAAATCATTGAAAGACATCGAGTGGGAGTATCTCATCGTCTTGAAGCCAAAATATAGTCGTCTTCTTTTCGAAAAGAGAACATTTTGATCTCTTGTAGTTTTTCAAAAGTAAGGGGTTATCTATACATTTTCAAAGAAGAATAGCACTTTGTAATTAAGCTTATCTAATTATCTATTTTATAAAATTCAATAAAAAGAATAAAAAAAATATATATATATAATTTCTTGTTTCAATAATCGGTTGAATTTTAACTTTTTTGACAAACAACTGGTGCAAAATATAAAAAAAATATTATTACAAATTTTAAAATTAAAATTAAATTCTCTCAAACACAATTTTTATGAAAAATTCGATTTGTTGTGATTCTGATGACTTTCTTTGGTCAACTCTACAACACAAAAATTAAATTGTAAAATCTTATACATTTTTGACGTTTTTTGAATACATTCTAAAGTTTAAATAACTTTTTATTTAAATTTCCAATGAATTAAAATTTACAATTTTCGTCTTCCTGAATTTTAATAATAATAACGTCTCTATTTATTTATCCAAGGTGGCGAAGTAAATTATGATATACATGTGTATAATTATAGGTAATTATAAAAAAAAATCAACTATTCTGTTTAAATAATAAATATCTAAAAATATTTTTTTTAAACAAAGCCAAATTATAGCATTTCGCTACTTGGTCAATGCTATTATACAAGGTGATGGCATTGTAAGAATAACTCCTGCAAAACATGGATGTAGAATGTTTAGGTAGCAAAAATAACTTACGCCTTGGGTTGCTTCTAGTGGACAAAGGTTTAAATAATTTAACAAAATCAATAAGTCTACGACTAATCAGACAACGATGTGCTAAGCTAAGCAGGTGATAGGAGGCAGTGTTTCCAACATTTAACCAATTAAGTTCTTTAAACCTAGAAGATATGTGGTCGTACTTTCTAAGTTTAAACACATAACGACAACAAGCATTTTGCACTTTTTGTATTCTATTTTTTTAGTATTTCAAATCTCATAGAATACGAAAATATAGATTTACCATTTTTATCTGGCTCTTGATGATTTTGTAAAAAAAGATGTCCAAACCTCTAACTCTTGCGAACTACTGCGAAATCTTAAATGCAGATTTTAACATTTATCTAGATCTTGGCAAGTATTGGCCCCGCCCACCCACCCTTATTTTCTTCGAGGGTATGCCATTTGGAAATATCAGTTTTATCTTAGCAAGTACTAGCCCCACCCGCCCGCCCTTTATTTTCCTAGAGGGTATGTTATTTGGCAAGATCAGCCTTATCTTGGCAAGTATTAGCCCCGCCCACCCACCCTCTATTTTTTTAGAGGCCTGCTAAGATATAGTTTCCCCAGTTCCAATTCGGTTTTATAATATTGTGTAGAAGTTAATTTCCCTAACAATAGAACACTATTGCTGGTGATGGGCCAGTCATAAATAAGGACTTACCCATGCCGTTACCTTTATATAGATTATAATGGTTAAATCCTTACTTATGACGGTCCCTTCACCTGCAGTGGTAACCTATTGTTAAGGAAGAGGAAGTTATCTTTAACACATCATAAAACCGAATTAGAACTGGGGAAACTATAAGACTGATTTTGACCAATGAAATCACTCTAAGTAAATAGACAACTGGGGGTGGGGCTACTACCTGCTAAAATAAGATCGATTTTGGTAAATAACAAATCCTCTAAGAAAGGAGAGGGTGGGTGGGCGGGGCTAATACCTGTCAAGATAAGAGTGATGTTGGCAAATGAGATACCTTCTAAGAAAAGACTGGGCGGGTGGGCGGGGTTAGTACCTGCTAAGATAAGACTGATTTTTGCAGATGACGTATCCTCTAACAAAAAATAGGGTGGGTGGGTTGGAGGCAGTACCTGTCAAGATAAGAGTGATTTTGGCAAATGAGATATCTTCCAAGAAAAGACTGGGCAGGTGGGCGGGGTTAGTACCTGCTAAGATAAGATTGATGAAAAAAATATCATTTGGCAAAATCAGTGTTATCTTGGCAAGTACTGGTGCAAAATATAAAAAAATATTATTACAAATTTTAAAATTAAAATTAAATTCTCCCAAACACAATTTTTATGAAAAATTCGATTTGTTGTGATTCTGATGACTTTCTCTGGTCAACTCTACAACACTAAAATTAAATTGCAAAATCTTATATATTTTTGACATTTTTTGAATACATCCTAAAGTTTAAATAACTTTTTATTTAAATTTCCAATGAATTAAAATTTACAATTTTCGTCTTCCTGAATTTTAATAATAATAAATAAATAATAATTTATTTATTTATCCAAGGTGGCGAAGTAAATTATGATATACATGTGTATAATTATAGGTAATTATAAAAAAAAATCAACTATTCTGTTTAAATAATAAATATCTAAAAATATTTTTTTTAAACAAAGCCAAATTATAGCATTTCGCTGCTTGGTCAATGCTATTATACAAGGTGATGGCATTGTAAGAATAACTCCTGCAAAACATGGATCTAGAATGTTTAGGTAACAAAAATAACTTACGCCTTGGGTTGCTTCTAGTGGACAAAGGTTTAAATAATTTAACCAAATCAATAAGTCTACGACTAATCAGACAACGATGTGTTACGCTAAGCAAGTGGTAGGAGGCAGTGTTTCCAACATTTAACCAATTAAGTTCTTTAAACCTAGAAGATATGTGGTCGTATTTTCTAAGTTTAAACACATAACGACAACAAGCATTTTGCACTTTTTGTATTCTATTTTTATGCATCTGATCAAGGCAAGTGTAAAATACCGTAGTTCCATAAGAAAGAATGCTAAGTACAAGAGATTCACATTATTTTTTCCTAGTTTTAAAATCGAGTATGAACCTAGACGAATATAACACTTTTAAGCGACTAAACGTGTGACTTAGAATATGGCTTACATGTAATTTAAATCTCATACATTCATCGAGATGAATGCCCAGTATTTTTACAGTTTCGTTCCATGGAATAGTCTCATTATTTATGTTGATATTTACATTATTTTGTAAGTGGTTTCGATCCTTGACCGATGTAATTAACACAGCATTTTACTTGTTAGTATTCACTCTCAAGTTGTGACGACAAGAATATTCATATACAGCTACTAAATCTGAAATTAACAATGCAATCGTATTGGTTTTCTCCGATTTAAATTTAAAAACTAAAGAGATGTCATCAACATAAGAAAAAATACCACAAATCCTGACAACATTGGCTATATCCACAATAAAGATAGTGAACAGAAGCGGCCCCAGGACACTTCCTTGAGGCACACCTGAGGTTACTGCCACAACGTCCGAAAACTTACTACCTATCACCACTTTTTGTCCACGATCACATAGATATGACTTAATTAAACTTACAGACGAATTACACAAACCATAATATGAAAGCTTCGCAAGTAGTAGTTCGTGAGTTATTTTATCGAGTAGTACAGTGTCACAAGAATTGACGACAACTTCTGGTCTAGATTACGGATTAAAGTATCACTTAAATGTAGCAAAGCAGTGGTGGTACTGTGATTCTGTCTGAAACCGAACTGATGATTTGGTATAATTTCATTTTCTTCACTATATTTGCGTAACTGTTGCATAAGAATGCGTTCGAAAATTTTAGAAAGAGTAGGCAACAAACTAATTGGACGTAAGTCGCTGGGAGATTTAGGTGATGATACTTTTGGCAGAGGTCTAATTAAAGCCGTTTTCCAAGCAGTAGGAAAGTAACCAGCTTCGATGCAGCCATTAATTAAATGAGTAATGTGAGGAAGTATCACAGACCTGCACAACTGTATCATTTCTAACGAAATTTAATCCAACCCTAAGGCATTAGATTTTAGAGAACGAATAATTAAAACAACTTCTTCAATTTTGATAACTGGAAAGTGAAAACTAAATTGTCTTTGAATTTTTGAGAAGAATAAAAACCAGTCATGTTAGGATCAGGAGACACATTCTGAAAAACAGATGCAAAAAAATTGTTAATTGTATCAGGATTATTTAAGTTAGATGGAATTTCAAGATACTTGATCCTAGTAATGTGTAAGGCATTTAAAGATTTCCAAAATTGTCGACTCTTGTTTTGACCGCACATGTTAACCAAGTAAGCCTTTTTCTCTCTTCTGAGAGATGCGAGTGTAAAGTTTCTTAAATTTTTATATTTGTTCCAATTCTCAGGGGTTTGATGTTTTTTATAGTTACTGTAAGCTAGGTCTCTTTCACGAAAAATTAGCTTTAACACATCAGTCAACCACGGAGCTTTAGGTTTGGTGATTCTTATGGTACGCAAAGGAGCATGGATGTCGAATAATAGTAAAATGTTTGTAGTTGTTACAACCTTCCAAGAACCCCGTTGAACAACCCGCGTGGAGTATAGTAAACCTTGATCCTTCCTTTTTAATTTTGGTGGGATTGCTTCTTTGATAGATAGATCCATGTTTCATCCAAATGCACGATTGTCAAATTTTCACAAGAATTTAGAAACTGTAAATATGTTCTCAAAAAAGCAATTTTGGCTGCAACGACATGTTTTTGTTCACATAGAATTTTGCGACCATTTACTTCCCTGTGTTTATAACCCATTGATTTAAGAATTTTGTATAATGTGGTTCGCCCCCCTTTTAATTCCAACTGTTCCCGAGAATACGCCAAAAGAGTATCTACAGTGAAATATTCGTTGTTTTCATTAAGTTGCCAAATTTGTCGTTGCAGGTCTTTCCGACACATAATTTGCAAATAAATCCGTTGGTTTTCGCTTGCCAGATAGTGATGTTTTTAAATTTTGGTCCCCTGTTGATAAAATTTTCGCCACAGTTGATGTTCCCACCTATAAATCTACAAGAAAATGTATTTTGCAAAATTTCGAAAATTTTGATGAAAATTATTGGAAAATTGGTGGATAAATTGCATTAAATCTATATTTCAAAGGGCGATTCTGGGAAAACCAATCGAGTTATCGAAGAACTGTTTGCGGAAGTGACTTCTACGGCCCGAAATCTACAAGAAAATGTATTTTGAAAAATTTCGAAAATTTTGATGAAATTTGGAGGAAAATTGGTCG